TAGAAGTAATTTTTTTATAGCCCCACACTTGAGATCCAGTCCAGTATTAGAAAACTTATATTAATAATATAAAAAGATAGATGTAAAAAATATGTTTTTTTTAGTTTTTAACATATAATATTTTAATGTATATAGTTTTTCATATTCTACGTGTTTCTTATTCTATATCTACATGATTTCGACGTTTCGGTTCCTTTACAGCAACCGTGATCATGAAGACGAGATGAAAATTTTCATTTCTTCTATTAAAATATTATTCTTATCTAAATGTAGAAAATTTTAGATATTAATAAATCTAAAATGATTAAGATTTTATTACAAAACTCATTAAAATTATATTTAATCCTCTGTTTCAGAAGTGTTAATAATATTTTATTGCAAATGTTATAAATATCCACAAATTTTTACATACCATATACATATAAGATACATAAATTTAGAGAAAAACAAAATTAAATATTGTTCGTTTGATATAATTTTTTATATAAATTATTGTAATGTAAATAATTGCAGATAGATCTTTATGTAATAATTTCTAGAAGTGATGAAAATATTCTAGAGATATCTTGAGATATTTTATAAAAAAAAACAACAATAAAAAGGCTGGCCTAGATTCACGAATGACTATTGTGTCATGCGTACCATGTAATGTTTTATAGCTTGTAATGTTAGCTTATCACAAAAAACTACTCTTGGACTCGCTTTATAGCTGTGCAAGCTATTAAGCTATTATTTTAAATTTTATTAACTGTAGGAAATATATGTTTTAGTATATAGTGTATAGTATAGTTTTGGAAGTAGAATGTGAGCAAAATTGGGTGTATACATCATATTTGAACCGATTTTCGTAAACCGATTTTCATAAAATGATGTACCCAGAAAACGTTAAAAAGTTCCAGAATTTTAAATATTGATATAATTTTAATTTTTATGCTCTTTTTTTAAACTATATAATAGCTGTATTATTCAATTTTTTAATAAGAATTACCGGTTATTTTTATTCGATGTTAGTGATATTTTAAAATCAGACAAAAGTCTTGGCTCATAGATGACGATTTGTATTTGAAAAAATATATGTACTTTGTGAATTTTTACATTAAAATCGTATAATATCCAGAATTTTTTGCCCTGTCGTCTTTAGACGAGACGAAACCTCTCATCATTCCATGTATTCATATGCGGGTGTCGGGTCCATCGTTGTAGTGAGAGGAGCTTCAACAGTGACTGGGACTTGTGACCCAGGTGTAGGTTTAATATATATAGAGAGACGAAACCTCTCATCATTCCATGTATTCATATGCGGGTGTCGGGTCCATCGTTGTAGTGAGAGGAGCTTCAACAGTGACTGGGACTTGTGACCCAGGTGTAGGTTTAATATATATAGAGAGACGAAACCTCTCATCATTCCATGTATTCATATGCGGGTGTCGGGTCCATCGTTGTAGTGAGAGGAGCTTCAACAGTGACTGGGACTTGTGACCCAGGTGTAGGTTTAATATATATAGAGAGACGAAACCTCTCATCATTCCATGTATTCATATGCGTGTGTCGGGTCCATCGTTGTAGTGAGAGGAGCTTCAACAGTGACTGGGACTTGTGACACAGGTGTAGGTTTAAGGGTCCCTATCTAACGCGTTAAACACTCACCTCCACTGTCTAAGCTCTCTACCTAACCACTACTCCTATAAAGTCAAATTTATATTCGAGATTTAGTAATGATACTAGATTTTTTAAAATAATTCGTTCTGCTCTGCAATTTTGTTATTGACTAGAGTTTTTCGGTGTTTATTTAACTTAGTAGTAATTCAATATAATTATAGTTTAAAACTATATGGTAGTGAACATGTAGTGGATTTGTCCTTTTTTTGTGAAGCTTGAATGTCGTTACGCTAAAAACGTATTTATGTATAATAAAATTATTTTGAATGTTCAAGAAACTATTCTTCTTCTACCTGGCAATTTTCCCAGCTATAGCCAGGGTCTGCCTTACATGTTGTGAATAGTTTTGGCTAACTGTTTTTACGACCGACCGCCTGCCTGACATCAACCCTCTTTGGGAAACTTCAAGAAACTATTCAATTCTCAATATTGTCCTATTTGTTGTTTTGTACGAATGTTAAAATCTATATGGTCAAATATAACAATTAGTCGGAAAAAGATTTACGTACGTCAATATTCATTCCTCATTAGGTCGGAACAGGTGACGGAAATTACGTACATATGGATAGAAAAAAATATACGCAAAAAGTTACGTATTGTTTTGTTGTCAAATTGTATACGTACATATATTTTTCATACAATTTTTTTGTCCCTTGAATCATAATTTGCGTAATTAAAAATTATACGGAAGCTGTTATTTTTTGTAGTCAAGTGAAGATTTGTGTTATTTATATGGAAATAAAAAATATAACGCAATGAATATTTATAATTCAAAAGAATATAAATTTTTTTTGGAAAAAATATTTTTCTGGTAACTTATTCTAACGCCAAGGTAAATCTTTTATTTGTTTTTCTAAGATAATGTGTTTCTTAGAACGCTAATTAGTCCAAACTTACTTTGATTTTGTTTTATACATATAACTATATACTAATAGCTCTTAAACATAATACATTCTTAGTTTATGTTATGAAATGTATAAGGATTTCGAAAAATCTTTTTGTATCCTTCCTGCTGGAATATAAAGCAACTTGACATATATATTTATATTTTAGTAGAATATATCTACCATATTTAATCTACGAAAACATATGTAGATATAATTATTATATATTTATACATATAAATATTAGTTATTCTACATATTTATAAGTAACAAATAAGTTTGTTTTGAAACAGACACCAAAGAAAGTAATTTTCATGATGTAAAAAAGGTTATTGAACAATATCTATAATAATAATTTAGAGGAGCTTGGACGGTGGAGGTGAGCGTTTAACGTTAGATAGGGTCCCTTAAACCTACACCTGGGTCACAAGTCCCAGTCACTGTTGAATCTCCTCTCACTACAACGATGGACCCGACACACGCATATGAATACATTGAATGATGAGAAGTTTCGTCACTCGTATTTTTTTGTTTTCTAATCAACGCCATTGTTTAGTTTATTTATAAACTTAACAGTTAGGTATATATATTATTTGCATAAAAATCAATCACTTTCATTTCAAGAGATGGAAGAAATCGCTCAAATAATATTCTCCTTATTATTTATCACCTGGAAAAAAGATTTTAATATGTTTATTCAGTAGTTTTACAGGCTTAAAAGCAATATTAGTTTTAAGCAGGTCTTGGAAGTTATTTAAAGATATGAAAAAAAATTAATAGGCTTTACAGATATTTAGTGAATCAATGTTTTCATTTCTTGGATAAGGAATTTACGACATCTATATAACATATATATGTAGTTTTTTATATAATTTATTTGTTAAAAAAATACATAATTATACATAGAGATGAATTTTAATTAGTTAATGAGCTTACGTAAGCTAGAGTTTGGTTTTTTGTTAAAATATTTTGCAAACATCTTTAGTATTGGGAACGAATGTATTTGTGTACCTAGATACTTATGGTATGACCGAGGTAGTTACGTTACTCATTGTTAGTATTACGACACACTTCTAAGTTAACGTTACTGGTCGCATAACGACACTTGAAAAGATTTGCCAACTATGGTTTCATCAAAAACAGTGAAGTGATGATATTACTTAATAAGTATTAGATTGCGATTGTTTTGTACTAGTTAATCGTTTATTAGGGTGGCAAACGGAGGTTCAAGGAAAACTACGAAACATACTTATATGTATATTAAAATAAGAACTACAAGTTAAAACTTATAACTTACACCTAAGACTACATGATTGTCCCGATGTTATGATAGCAATACCATTCCATAGCTTGTGTGTATCAGGAATCTTCTGGTTCACACGCATGGTGTTCGTTCCGCGGAGTCAGCGGCGTCACTCGTTATATATTTTATACATACAACGATGTCGCCCGGCGATGTTCATTTTTTCTTCATATATAGCGCGTAACACATTGCAAATTAATGATATACATGAAAAGTTTGTTTGTTTGTATACTTACATAATTATACCAAAACACTGTGCTGTAAAATTAGTTTAAAATTTATCTTTCATACTTAAATCGTATGTTGCAATAATATTTTATGTCCAGTAAACGCCTAAGTTGTAAAACGATCTAGCAAAAATTTAATATGCAAGTAAAATGGAGGATAAAAGCTATTATTTTGATTAAAACCAATAGTTCCTACTGTAATTTTCTTTTGAATTAATATGTTTATTTTATGAAAGAAAAATTTATGCTTGTTTTGATAGGATAATGAGAAAAAACATGATTTAATTTCATTGGCTTTGTCATGGATATTAAATAAATAGATGTTTTTTTAATACAATAATTATTTAGATATAAATTAACATATAAACTTAATTTTGTTGTGTAACAATATATTGGAGTAATAAATACTTCATAAAATTTGCCAAATCATATAGATGCATTCAAATGCTTTGTATATTTATTTTTAATGCCACTGGACTTTGGGCCTAGTTGTATATGGAAATACTGGACCGATTTTGATGGGAATTATATTTTATTGTAAAAAATAACTATATAATATTCAGATGAAAATTTTATAATTAAATTGTGATAAATAAATATATATAAAGGTCGTGGTGGCCTAGAGGTTAAAGGCCCGCATCTCGTGCACGAGGGCGCGGGTTCGATCCTGGCAAGTACCAATGTGATATTTCCGAATCATATATACTATGTAAGATTATTTAGACACCACTGACAGACGGCAAAGGAAAACATCGTCAGAATTATAGTTTCTAATTGCAACTTTGAAATCACCAACCCGTCTTGAGCAAGCGTGGTGATTAATGCTCAAACCTTCTCCATGTGAGAAGAGGCTCAGCAGTGGGCCCTGATAGGCTCATGATGATATATAAATATATATAGTATGAAATTATTTTGTTCTAGTTCAAGATGTCTCTAGAAGATAATGACTTGGACTCCATGCCAGATAGAATTGCTGAAACCTTCGCTGGCTTGACTCTTCTAGTGACTGGAGGAACAGGTTTTATGGGGAAGGTTCTAGTGGAAAAATTATTACGGTAATTTATATATACAGCCTTAGAAATTAATGTAAAATCATAAATTTATTTAATTACAACCAATAAATTGAAATAATTCACACAAAAATACATAAACCAATTAATTTTCCACCGATTACAAGTTCATTTTGGGCAAAGAAGAATAAAACGTCTAATCATCATATCAGAATATTACAATTTAAATTGTTTTATTTGAATGAATATATTTTTGAATAAATTCGCGTATTTTATTATATTAAAAACTACATAATAACTACGTTTCGATCACTTTGTAGCAAATATACGTTTTGTTTTATAAGATGTGAAATTATTTTGATTATAATTAAATATATTTTTTTTACAGAAAATGTCCTGATATAACAAAAATCATGCTTTTAGTTCGTCCGAAGAAAGGAAAATCTCCGAAACAACGTCTCGAGGAAATGTTGAATGATGAGGTAAGAAGTTTTTATAAGAAAAACAAATTTTATTTATATATGTTTAAATTTTTATAAAAATATAATTAAATTTTTATCAATTTTTCATGTATAATACAAGAGTGAGTAAATCAAGATAAAATTTTAAACCAAACAAAGTTTAATACGCTTTATTTGAACCAGTAAAGGCTTGACTAACCTTTAATAGATAGTTTTTTAAACATTAAAAGTAAAATAGTTAATTTACGAGTAAAACCATGAGATATTAGTTAGTTATGAGTCAGTTTAACTCGAAGTAGTCAGGTATTACGAAGTTTCATAATAGTTTCCCGCTGACGACACCGCAGACTACGCAACTATTTTTAGTCACTACTCGACGGTAGTGTTTACTCTAAAGCTAAATAATATATATATAAAATTAACAATATTACATAAAATTCACGGTAATATTTTTTTTGTTAGATAACAAAAAAAAGTATATAAAAAAATTACGTAATTTTGAACAATAATATATTGTATTTGTTATATATTTATTTTGTTTTAGCAATTTTTTTGCGTTTTTAAATATGTTTATATGTTTTTTTGTAGAAAACTTTTATTGAGTAATATTGCTAGTTGTTTGTGGATATACCTTTTAACTGACCTACATAGCTCTCGGTTTAGCAATGCTAGTGCAAAACAAGTGAAATAAGTAACATTTCATTACGTCTAGTACTCTTAAATTATTGCGAAAATATAGATATATACAAAATAATAGATAAAAATCTGTATCTATAATCTAGATTAGAATTAATTGATTATTATTATTTTTTTTCTTAATATTTTCAGAATATACTTTTTCTTACCCAATTATTCAATTGAATATTATATGAAAAAAAAATTGATTGATTTTTTTATTATTATATATATAATAAGATGAACATTAAATATTATTTTATTATAAACCAAGAAATATTATTACTTCATTAAGTTAGGTAACGAACCATGAATATGTTTTGTAAATTAACAAGTAAGTGTTAGATTGATCACACTTTCCCTTGTTACTCTCGCTTTTGCCATAAAAATAGTTAAAATTTATGATTGGATAAAAAAAACTACTTTCCAATGAGATGCGAAGAATAAATGAAGATTATTTATTGTATATAAGGATTCATGGAGTAGTTAGAATGGATGGTATTGACGTCAACGCTTTGATTAAATAATTTTGTTCAAAGGGCAACATGTAATGGATTGAAAGACGTAGGAAGAGACAAACAAGTATATATATATATATATATATATATATATATATATATATATATATATATATATATATATATATATACATACAGGGTGACTGGTGAATTACTATCAATATTTAAGGAGGATACTCGGTACATGATTCTCATTCGAATTATGTAAAAAAAAGGGTACTTAATTTTTGACCAAATTTCCGTATAAATAAATAAAGTGTGGACACGTTCCAAGTGTTCCAAGTGTGGACGTGTGTGTGTGTGTATACCTAATCTGTAGGGTGTTCACACGATGCGTAATTAATTACATAACTTTTGGTTAACTTTACTTAGAAGTTGATTAATATTTATGTTATATTAATTTTTATTTTGTCATATATGATCGTCAAATATCACGTCCTCAAGTATCGATACTAATTCACCAGTCACCCTGTATATATATATATATATATATATATATATATATATATATATATATATATATATACACATTTAAATTAACTGTTCCTCTGCTCCTCAATTCGTGGACCGATTTAAATGTTTTTTATTTGTATTTTCGCGTCCCCCCCATAATTTAGATTAATCAATCATCCCGACAGATGTCGCTGCATTTCATTTTAAATAACTTAGTTATTTAAAATGAAAAGCCTACTACATATGTTACTACACTACTATATATATATTTCTGAGCGTCACCCTGATGTTCGTGCAGATATAGTCGCGGGCAAAAACTAGTATATAAATATTGCGTTATAAGTAAACAAAGGTATGATATTTGAGTGTTTCAACTAGCTTAGATGTCGGGTCACATTTCACTTTCACTTTACATATTTTTCCTTTCAATCTAGAAGCAAACCAGAAATTCCTTATACATAAATACCTAGCCTATTTTTCTTTATTTCCGTAATAAAATATTACTTCTGATATATGATAGTTCGTTTGAAATAGTATTAAAATAAATATTTTTATAATTTACATAAGTTGTAATCAATTATATAGATTTTTTATAAAATAAAATATTGGTTGTTAATTCTCCTTATATATATTCCTACTAATATTATAAATGCGTAAGTAACTCTGTCTGTCTGTTACGCTTTCACGCCTAAACTACTGAACTGATTTTAATGAAATTTGGTACAAAAATAGAGTTGACCTTGAGAAAGAACAAAGGATAGTTTTTTATCCCAGACTTTTAAAAAGTTCTCTTAGAAACGCGATATAACCGAACTCCACGCGGGCGAAGATGGGGGCGAAAAGCTAGTATATATCACATATATTTGTATTGAATCAGACATAACTATTAAATATTTGTTATTAGTATGTCAAAATCATTATAGTAAAGTGCATATTTCTTATATTAATATTTGCAACGTGATTTTAAAACTATTTTTCTTCTTAAAAACATGATTATTGTATTTAAGACGTTTAAAATATAAAATTTCGCAATTATAAGTTTGAAATCACCAACCCATTAAGCAAGCGTGGTGATTAATGCTCAAACCTTCTCCATGTGAGAAGAGGCTAAGCAGTGGGCTCTGATAGGCTGATGATGACTAACGACGTACTAACGATATGTTTCACAGTTATTCGCTAAGGTACGAAATCTTCGTGGAGGTGTTGAACCGTTATTGGAGAAGCTTCAAATAGTTTGCGGTGATGTTAGTGCTCCAGACTTGGCTATCAGCAATGAAGACAAAATGAATATTATACAAAATGTACATATAGTGCTGCACGCTGCGGCTACTATAAGGTCAGTCAGGATTACATTCATCCAATGCAAATGCATTCATCCATTCATTCATTCATTCATTCATTCATTCATTCATTCAATGATTCATTCATTCATTCATTCATTCATTCATTTTAGTAAATATTTTATTAAAAAATTTCTGTCATGGTTCAATTGTTTTAATGGTTCAATAAGAAGTATCGTTTCATTCATTCAATCATTAATTAATTCATTCATTTTAGTAAATATTTTTTAAAAATAATTTATTAATATCTGTCATGGTTTAGTAATTTTACGACTGAATAATAAGTATCGTTTATCATATAAAGACTTCCCCTTTTATGATGTATATAACTATTTTATTTTCTAGGTTCGACGAAGAATTAAAGAAGGCTGTATTTTTGAATGTTCGAGGAACCAAATTAATTATAGAGTTGGCGAAGCAGTGTAAGAAACTTAAGGTAAGTTTAAGAACTCAGCTCCTTGGTAAAAAGAGGTCTTTTGACGTAAAATTTTACTAGCGTCCCTGAAATTATAACTTTATTAGGGATTATTGATCTTGATATAAAAACGAGATAAAATTAATACAAAAACCGATCTTACAAATGTGATTGAAACGAAATGTACCAATAATGATAAAAGTAAATACTTTTTTAAGTCAAATAGTAGTATTTTATGACCACAGATCAAATGATTTCTAAAGTTAAATTAGAAGATAAGTTAGGAATAATTTCAAACGAAGTATTTTATGATAATAATTCTAAAAAAATAATTTTCCGTAACTCCAAAATTAGAAGTAATAATCATGAATACATACTATTATCTTGTATATATATCTTCTAACTGGCAATTTCTAGGCTATAGCCAGGGTCTGCCTTACATGTTGTGAATAGTTTTTTACGATCGGCCGCCTGCCTGACATCAACCTTCTTTTTGGGGATTAGCATTAATCAGTGATGTCTAAATATTCTTAGAAAGTACATATGACTCGGAAAAATCACATTGGTGCTTGCCCGATCCAGGATCGAACCCGCGCCCTCGTTAACGAGAGGCGGGCGATCTAACCATTAGGCCACCACTGACTTTATATATATACTCCTATTTCATCGAAAATCTCACATTCTAGCTGTTCATCCACATTTCGACTGCGTACTGCCATCTTCATGAGAAACTCCTGGAAGAAAAGCCTTACCCACCACCAGCGGATCCTCATAAAATTATAGAAGCTATGGAATGGATGACTGACGATGCGGTCTCAACTATCACACCCACGTAATGATAAAAAATATACAATCACCATAATAAAAATAACAAAACATTGTAAATTATAGCCATACAATAAGTATATAAGTATATTCTATCTCTCTCCTCTACCAAAGGTTGCCTGGAAGAGATCGCTGTTTTAGCGATAAGGCCGCCTATTTGTACATTTTCCTTTCTTTGTTTTTCTCTTATTATTTCTGTCTATATTGGTGTACAATAAAGAGTAAATAAATAAATAAATATAAGTAGTTTAGTTTATTAAAACTATTAACTAAACTGAGTAAAGCAAGCTGTAGTGAATATACCGTATTTATATATAGTATTATATACCACGTGTATCAGTTGCAATAATTTTCTTTGAAATTTATTTTCTATATAAAATATTATATATGTATGACATATTGAATTCGTGGCACAGTTTTATATTTAGTTCCTTATTCATAAGTTTAAGGTATTAAAACGTAAGGCTTTCGTCTAAACTTGCGAGTGAAATTTGATTAGGTAGAGAGAGGAGCTTGGACAGTGGAAGTGAGCGTTTAACGCGTTAGATAGGGTCCCTTAAACCTACACCTGGGTCACAAGTCAAAGTCACTGTTGAAGCTCCTCTCACTACAACGATGGACCCGGATGGATGCAATATTTTAAATAGAAGCTGTTTTGATTTAACTTAAGAAAACCAGATAATTATATTATTTTGATCAAATCAAATTGTACTAAAGTTAATTAATATTACAGTTTGCTGAGCAAACTGCCAAATTCTTATGCTTTTACGAAAGCATTGGGAGAAGCTTTGGCTGTTGAGGCTATGGAACATATACCTGTTATCGTGTTACGACCTTCCATTGGTAAGTTGATATTAATTCCTTTTATGTATAATAACATATATATTTTTTTAAATATACTACGTCAAATAAATAATAACAAAGAAAAAGAATATTAAAAGAGCGTCTTATATTTAATAATAAGTGAAATATCTTAAATAAAGGGATGCCTAACATACTCGTTAAATAATAACATCTTTTGTTAAGAAACACTCTTTTTATGTGCATTATTTTATGACTAAATTATACACATATATACATATATATGCTAGTTTCAAATTATCTTAGCGATTTTAATTCCATGATATACCTATATGAAACAAATGCCCGCCAGTATTTAAGGCTACTATAAAAATAAGTCGTGACAAACAGATATACAAATAAAACGAACTATTATTTTGATATATACAAAGTGTGAACATTAAAAATATATAAGCGTTTATTTTGTCAATAAAATCAATACTAATCTAACAGATGATTCATCATAATATAACATGCAATGAATTTTATTATTTTTTCTGTTACTTGGTCGTTTTTAAGTTATTTTTTTATTAATTCCAGTGATTCCGGTGTGGCAAGACCCCGTGCCTGGTTGGACAGACAACATAAACGGCCCCACGGGATTGCTCATTGGTAAATTTTATATTATAGCTAGCTTTCCGCCCGCACCTTCGCCCGCGTCGAGTTCGGTTATATAGAGTTTCCAAGAGAGCCTTTCAAAAATCGGGAATAAAAACTATCCTATGTTCTTTCTCAAGGTCAACTCTATCTCCGTACCAAATTTCATTAAAATCAGTTCAGTGGTTTAGGCGTGAAAGCGTAACAGACAGACAGAGTTACTTTCGCATTCATAATATTAGTAGGGATTTAATATAATTTCACAATTATAAGTTTGAAATCAGTAACCCTTCTTGAGCAATCGTGGTGATTAATGCTCTAACCTTCTCCAAGTAAGAAAGAGGCCTTTGCTCAGCAGTGGGCTCTGATAGGATGATGATGGGTTGACAAATAAGTGATAATGTATTCTCATTAGAAAAACAAAGAAATTTTTTTCATAGAACCAAATAACTTCATTCTGTAATGTATTGGTCATTTTTATCAATGCGTTTAGTCATCTATCAGGCAGCATTATAATACCACGTTCATAAAACTACTGGTTTTTAATAGGAACAAACTGAATTATTAAGCATCATCATCATTATTGAATTTGCACTACGTCTGCAAATCTAGAAGTTCAACTAAAGCCGTCTATGAGTGAAACAATTACTTAGTTAAACAATTAATTAGTTGCCAATGTATCTTCTTTTTCTTCCTCGCAATTTCCCAGCTTTAGCCAGGGTCTGCCTTACATGTTGTGAATAGTTTTGGCTAATTGTTTTTACGTCCGGCCGCCTGCCTGACATCAACCCTCTTTGGGAATGCCATCTTATTATATAAACTATAATTGCCTATCCAATCTTATTATTCCTTTTGGTTTGTCCATTAGTTTACCTTTCTTCCAATAATTATATAGCGTGATAACCAGAGGTTTCAGAAAAACTGCGAAACTTACATGTATATTATAATAAGAACTACATATTAAAACTCATAACCTACACCTAAGACTACATGATTGTCCCGATGTTATGATAGCAATACCATTCCATAGCTTGTGTGTATCAGGAATCTTCTGGTTCACACGGCTTGGTGTTCGTTCCGCGGAGTCAGCGGCGTCACTCGATATATATTTTATACATACAACGATGTGGCCCGGCGATGTTTATTTAATTTTTAACATGTTGCGTGTAACACAGTTTTGGAAGAAATAAATACAGAAACAAATATATATTTATCTATATTTGACATTACAGGTGCCGGGAAAGGTGTCATCAGAACAATGTATTGTAAAAGTAACAGCTACGCAGACTATTTGCCAGTTGACGTTTTCATTAATGGCATCATGATCTGCGTTTGGAATTACATCAAAATGGGGTTAGTATGAATTTTTGTTTGAGTTCAATTTTGGTGATAGTGGTAATTCGTTGGGCATGACATATGTAACATTTTATAAAAGTTTTCTTTTCTTTTCTTTTCTTTCTCAAACTGTTATACTAATATTATACATTAATGCATTCTTGGAACGTACATCGAAGGCAGCCCTAGTAGGTTCTTTTCAAATTTGGTTAGGTAGAGAGAGGAGCTTAGACAGTGGAGGTGAGCGTTTAACGCGTTAGATAGGGGTCCCTTAAACCTACACCTGGGTCACAAGTCCCAGTCACTGTTGAAGCTCCTCTCACTACAACGATGGACCCGACACACGCACCGTGAATACATGGAATGATGAGAGGTTTCGTCTCTCTATATATATTAAACCTACACCTGGGTCACAAGTCCCAGTCACTGTTGAAGCTCCTCTCACTACAACGATGGACCCGACACACGCACCGTGAATACATTGAATGATGAGAGGTTTCGTCTCTCTATATATACATATTAAACCTACACCTGGGTCGCAAGTCCCAGTCACTGTTGAAGCTCCTCTCACTACAACGATGGACCCGACACACGCATATGAATACATGGAATGATGAGAGGTTTCGTCTCTCTATATATATTAAACCTACACCTGGGTCACAAGTCCCAGTCACTGTTGAAGCTCCTCTCACTACAACTATGGACACGACACACGCATTTGAATACATTGAATGATGAGAAGTTTCGTCTCATTATTAATATAGTTTCTTACACCCAATATGATTGAATGTATACGGAACCATATTTTATTATAATTTTTTTCCAGTGAGACGAAATCCAATGTGATCAATTTCACGTCATCCGCTGAGATCAAAGTCACGTGGCTGGAGATGATAGACGCTGGGCGGGAGATAATAATGAACAGAGTGCCTCTGAACGGTGTTGTTTGGTGAGAATGATTTTGAATCTATATTAAACTAGCTGCGCCCCGCGGTGATACCCGCGGATTTTCGGGATGTAAACTAGCCTATATGTTATTCCTGAACGTCAGCTTCCTGTATACAAAATTTTATCAAAATCGGTTCCGCCGTTTGAGAGTGAAGAAGTAACAAACATACACACACACTCACAAACTTTCGCAATTATGATATTAGTAGGATATATTTTATTTTCAATCTTATGACTGTTAGAAATTATGATTTTTTGCATTCTTAGACCATAAGTCTTTATTACTATAAATTGCTGCTTCTAAGTGATTTTTAAGGGATAATTATACCTTTTTTATTTAAATAAAATAAGGTATTGTTTATATATTTCGTTTGGTAAAACACAAATTATGATATTTTGGTATCCACTTATGTTTTAATATTAAGTGATTGACCCCAGCATAAGACAATTGGAAAGTTATATGATTATTATTTTTTATTTCATTTTTATTAATTGTTAGATTCAAATTGATTAATTATTTTGAAAATAAAAATTAAGATGCGTAACGATGTATTTTGTTTAATTTCAGGTACCCGGGTGGTTCAATGAAACATTCAAGACTATATCACAATATATGTGCATTGTTCTTCCATTGGATTCCAGCCATAATAATAGACACCTTACTATTTTGTTTAGGATATAAGCCTATGTAAGATTATTATTATTTTAATACTTAATCTTAGAGGTAGTTTCAAATTCAATTTAGATACGACTTAGGTTTTCGGGAGGGGAAACCAAATTGTTTTGTACATAAGATTTTAGCCACATCTTTAGATTTGTCAATTTTACTTATAATTACTTTCTTATATCAGACAGACTTGTTACTTTGTAAATAGAACAATTCATTATTGATCATTCACAAAAAAATACAATCTATGCCAGTCGCTAGTGTGCCCTGTCGCTGACAGATCCGGGGTACACCGACATAGCGGCCGATGGCTTTCGCAGTGGTTTTAGTGAGTAGGGGCCTGCCCAGGCCGAGCCTCACACATCCCTTCCGGCCCCACCAAGGCCGGTTGGACGGCTCGTAAAAAGACTTTCCCTGCGTCATCAAAAAAAATAATACAATCTATAATTTTTGCGCAACATGGTAAAGCGTCAGAATGAACAAATGATCAAATTCCAATTACCCGTATACTCAAATACAACATCAAATATTGATGTGATTGTACCTTTAGCCATATTTATACCCTTTTTCTTATAATGTTTGTACATTTCAGTCTAATGAGAGTTCATCGCCGCATCAGTAAGGGTTTCGAAGTCTTCGAGTACTACACTAACAACCAATGGGACTTTAAATCAGACATAGCTCAAACGGTTCGACAGAAATTGAATCCTAGAGAGAGAAGAGATTACAAAGTTGACGCTATCGGTAAATAACTCGTGTGGATTAAGATTATAATTGATTTATTGGTTGTTAGAATATGATAATAAAATTGGAATATATGTATTATATATTTATAAATATATAATTGGTGTTATATGAAACAGAAATGGTATATTTCGTATGTAACTAAAAAGGTTCGTTGTCGTTAGAATAAAATGAATAATAGTTTTAAAGTCATGCCTTTTATAGCTAACCTAACTAAAAAATAGAAAATAATTTTCAATTACAAAGAAATTTATTTTAATTCAGAGTAAAAAGCGTGGGGTAATTGATATTGAATGTAACAATCATAATAGTGTGAATTATCTATAAGAAAAAAGATATGAAATGTAGTCAAATGCGGTTCTAATAAGTATAATGGAAAACTGGTATCAAATTATTGCATTGTCATCAATCCATGAATTTATGATAATTCTTTATACCTAATTTTAATATCAGTTAAAATATCATTAATACCTTACTAAAATTGAATGATATTACGTATATAATGATAATTTTTGCTTTGGAGAATATCATTCAGTAAAATTTGCTCTAATTTGTATATTTCTCTGGAGAATGACAAAATAATTTTCCTCTAATTTGTTAAAAACAGGCTTGGATATATCAAAATATTTCGAGGACTGTATTCGTGCTGCTCGCATCTTCATCCTCAAAGAATCAGATGACACCTTACCGGCTGCCAGACGTCACATGAAAATGTAAGTTTGTTATACATAATATACGAAATTATAACAATCTTGTTCTTTTCAAATTTGGTTAGGTAGAGAGAGGAGCTTGGTCGATGGAGGTGAGCGTTTAACGCGTTAGATAGGGTCCCTTAAACCTACACCTGGGTCACAAGTCACAGTCACTGTTGAAGCTCCTCTCACTACAACGCGATGATCCCGGCACCCGCACCGTAAATACATTGAATGCCAAGAGGTTTCGTCTCATATCGGCTAATTAATTTCGTTCGAAGTAATGAGAAGCTTTATTATAAATACATAATTTTTAATGTACATTATTTAGTCTGCTTCGAAAATGAGAAATATTTTTAATGTATAATTCAATTATTATAGGCAAGTACCAATGTGATTTATCCGAGTCATATGTACTTTATAAGAGTATTTAGACATCACTGACAGACGGTGAAGGAAAACATTGTGAGGAAACCTGGACTTATAGTTTCACAATTATAAGTTTGAAATCACCAACCCGTCTTAAGCAAGCGTGGTGATTAATGCTCAAACCATCTCCATGTGAGAAGTTGCCTTTCCTCAGCAGTGGCCTCTGATAGGCTGATGATGATTCAATATCCTACTAATATTATAATTGCGAAAGTTTGTGAGTGTGTGTGTACGTTTGTTACTTCTTCACGCTCAAATGGATGAACCGATTTTGATAAAATTTTGTATACAGGAAGCTAACGTCCAGGAATAACACATAGGTTACTTTACATCCCGGAAATCCGCGGGTAACACCGCGGGGCGCAGCTAGTATTATATACTTGTTACTGATTAGTGATTACGTGTTTGATTACAGAATGTGGTTCGTCGATATCGTTGCACAACTCCTGTTCTGGTCTCTCATGCTGTACTGGTTCTCTGGATGGATGAGCAGCTTCTACTCGTTTTTAGTTGGTTCCAGTAATATCACGCCTGAGGCAATGGTTGAATAAGTTTTACGTATATTATATTTAGTGTAAACTTATTTATATTCCAGTCTGGAATCTTTACTTGAAGATCTATTTGTTCAGGAGTTATAGGAAAAGGTGTACGTATATAAGATATATTGATATGAGTAATGACGAATGATTTTCTTGTATTATATAAAATGTAAAGTGTACAGTATTTTTATATACTTTTTTGTATATTTTTTTGGAAAAATAAAGAGAAAAAATATATTTTTTTTATCTTTCTTTAGTGTATAGAAAATAAAAAACATAGCACTGACTTTTGCCTAATTGTGTAACTGGAAGTTGACTAAAATAAAATTTAAAATAAATCGGGTAAATAAATGATTAAAATATAAAGAATAATTTATTTATTGCCTCATCCATCAAGAAAATTTTTATGAAGTTATCCAAAATTTACAATATTACATTGATTTTACAGTATATAGCCAAAATCATTTTTAGAAAACGTTTTAAGAATGTAGGACATAAATCCTAGTTGCGATCTTCGAAACCTCATTACCTCATCTTGTGAAATATTTGGAGATACCACGAATATAGGAACCACGCGATGAGTGAATAAAATAATATCTGCACGAATATATGTACTATGTACCGTCTGCAAAAAAAAAATAGTATTATTAGTACAACCTTATATATAAAATTCTCGTGTCGCGGTGTTAGACAGAGAACTCCTCCGAAACGGCTAGACCGATTTTCATGAAATTTTGTGAGCATATTGAGTAGTTCTGAGATTCTGCCAATATCTATTTTTCATACCCCTAAGTCATAAGGGTTGTTCACCCCAAATATTTTTATTTTTCGTAATAATGTACCATAAAATAATACATACAACCCAAAATTTTTTTCATCATCAACCACTATTTTTTTATATGGCAAAACAACGTTTGCCGGGTCAGCTAGTATATATATATATGTTTATGTAAGCTATTATGAAATACTTTATACATCTCGTCTTAATGATCACGGTTGCTGAAAAGTAGCCGAAACGTCGGGAGTATGTAGTTTTTTCCACCAAAATAAACCGCGTATTATACTTTATACATGTTCTCAAGTATACAGAAATGTTAATCTTTCATAGTAAATTCTTATTTTCTTTTCAATCTTAGTTATGTAAATTTATATATGGAGACACATATCACTTACATTCTATGTATTTTTATAGCCCTTGGCAATGTTGAAGGATCTTCCTTACAGACAAAGTGTCTTACACCAAGCACGTAATCCTTTAAGTAATCTGCTGTGTCAATTTTTGATACATCTGTATAAAATATATCATTTTCCTTCTGACTTATGGACCTCTGTAGAGCTAGGAAGTTACTGTTCTTGAAATGCCATTCTTTCATGGCATAATATTGAAGAATGCTTAAGCCGTGGGTGATGCGTTTTTGAATTTTTACCAGGCTGAAAATAATATCACACTATTAAAGGCATTCTTTAATTTAGATATTATAAACAAATTTCAATTATACGCTTTTTGATGATGATTTTGATTTGCATGTCACATTAACAAATAAATTTATAACGAAAAAAGTTATCTTTGTATTATTTTCTCCAAAATTTATTTAAAATATTTTGAGTTTAAATTTCAGTATTTTATTAAAGTAGACTGAATTTATAAGTTTCCTGTTTGTCTTACAATATGACGTTAAACATAATTTAAGTAATGAGTTTTTTGTAAACAGCTTTTGTCACTTAAAGTACTCATATAAAACTATAAACATTGATTTGGGCGTGAAAATCAACATAAATATGGTATTTTTACGATGACATATAAACGAATAATGATATGACATTTTAATACTTTATTTTTTGAATCCTTTCACACAATGACTAATCTTGCATCTGTATCTTTTTCATACTCTAATGGTTACACTTCATCGTATATTTACTGCATGCAATGCAAATGTTTAAACAGACAATTATTGGCCTTACAGATTTTCTGTGTATACTCACAAAGGCTTCTTTCTGAACAGCAATAGAAGGAAATCTATGAAGTATGCTGGTAATATATGTGTGAATATTAGGGCAATTTGGTGTGTAATCCAGTAAGACCTAATATTACCCCCCGGGTACCACAACGCCGTCAAATGAGGGTAAGTATTGACATACTTCTCACCTAAAACATGTTCATTTAGGTAATGTGATTTTCGCGAATACTCATTTAAATGAAACTAACATTTTTCGGATTTAGTACGCAATTATTTTTAACTATAAACTACATACTCCAGACGTTTCGGCTACTTTACAGCAACCGTGATCACGGGCAGACGAGAAGTCTGGACGTAGAGACGTCGCGACGCGTAGTAAAATCCGAAAATATTAGTCTCATTTAAATGTTCATTTGTGATATATAAAGATTATATTATTCAAGTCTTTGACCGAAATATAATAAGAAATACAGGAATAATAAATTAGTAAGTTTTTATTAAGTTAATTTAATAGAATTTATTGTTATTATTAATATTGTTGAAATGGATTAATCAATTTATTGGTTAAAAATTATCTCATTTAAGTTTGAATAAAAATTTTACGGTGATGATAAATACTTTAACAGTACAGAGTAATAATTGTTAGAATACGAGAGTATTTGAACGAAATTAACGCTGCTGAAGTTTCTTTTACACATTTTTTTCAAGAAACGACAAAATCAAACTATTTTTTTGCTATAATGAGATCTAAGATTTCTGCGTTATCATTTAAATTAAACTAATAGATTTGATTATAACAAGTTTTTATTATTTTTAATTAAACGAAACGTCGGAAGTATGTAGTTTAAATAATAAAAAATCGCGTAATACATAAGGAAATATTAGTTTCATTTCAATTTTAATCCTAATTCTTACCCAATTCAATAACTTCGCGCCAAGTTATTTTATGTACTCCTGATAGTGTTAAATTGAAAATGCGGATTTCTTTTGGCCTGAAAATAAAAAAAAACCGATTATGATATAAAATTTAATTAATTCATAACGTAAAAATAAACAATATATTAAGAGAAAAATTATATAAGAATGTAACTATGTAACTGAATGAAAGCATTTGAATTAGTGTTTATAAGTGTTAAAAATATCTGATTTTATAAATACAATCTTTTTACATTATTATTTCTTTCAGACTTAATAAATTAGAATAAAATTTTATCATTCAAAATGTGTTGAAAGTTTCAAAATCTTTACAAAACCATAATATCGGTTTTAATCTCGAATTAAAACAGTGCCATCTATTGTTGAAAAGAAACGAGCTTTGAAAATTGAGAATAGCGCCATCTAGCGATACCTGTCAAGCGCGATGTTATGAGCAATGAGTATGCATCCGTTGGCAACGATATCGACTGGTATTGCATCAGCCAAATAAGATCCTTCACAGAGCATGGTACGGATAACACCTTTTGTGGAAAAAGTGTAATTATAGTTATTATAGCCAGCTCCATATCAATGGAAAATTTTAAATAGCAATTACACGAATAATGTATAAACTATAAGAATACTCTTATTTAACAAAGTTTGCAAGAATAAATAAAATTATGTTTTTATTGAACTATTCATGATGTTCATTACCTTTCCCACTGCCCATGAGTAAACCGGTAGGACCATTGATATTGTCGACCCAACCAGGCATTGGCTCTTTCCAGCTTGCAGTAACTACAAAATATTTGTTAAAAGAATTTTCCATATATTTTAACTGTACTATAAGTAAAAAGATATTTATCCTCAAAACAACTTTTGTATAGAGTTTCACATCATTTACCGATAGATGGCCGACCAATCGCAATTGGGAACTTCGAACTGAATTCGGCAACAAGATCCTCTGTTATGGCTTTCGTGTAAGAGTATGTATTCGGTTCTGAAGAAATTAATCTGTAAATAATATTATGTAATATATTATTTATTTCTATTTTGTATTTGAATTAGGACTTCCAAAATATCGGGATCCATTTTCTTTGTCAAACTAAGCTATAGGGTTCTCACTGGGCTCAGTAAATCAATCTTTATATATACATATGTATTTAACTGTCATATAGTGTGGAGAACATAATAGTTTTTCTGACTAATCCTCCTAATGTTAACAAATTATTCTTTACGTATTTTCTATTTAAATTTTAATTCATATACGTAGTTTTATATTTAATACATTTTTTTTTATATCGATGGGTCCTATGTATCTAGGGCCAATGTAGCAAATTAGCTATTTTCATTTATTCGTTTTAAACAATTCATAATAGTGTATTCTTCAATATCCATTCAAAATGCGTTATTGTTGGTGAAAGAACTTAGTTTTAAAAACAAACATATCTATCATAAGAAACACTTTTTAACATATAAGGGATAATATACATTATTTAAAAAACTAGAAGGTTTACAAAAAAAAATTATCAAGTTTAAGTAGCCATAGTTGCTATGTAAAGTTTCAAAAGCATCAGTTGTATGTACAAGATACATTGAAATCAAACTTAAAACGCCTCTACTGAAAAATTTTCATTTTGCATATTGGCCCTCATATACATAGAAGCCATCAATATATATATTATTCTAAATTAAGGGTTGAAATTGTGGTCGTTTATTCTAAGACTAACCGGGGTTCCAGGTAATCCAATGTTTGGTCATCCAACCACTGCGTTAATTCTATAATCTTTCTAGGCTCGTGGGCTGCTGGGTACAGCTTTTCATCCAGAACTTCGAGCTCACAGCGACAATATGCAGTTGACAGGTGAAGGAACGCCTGCAAAGGGATTTGTTAATGATTAAACTATTCCTGAGCTATCAAAAATATTACTAGGAACGAATTTTGCTTCGTAATTCATTTAAGTCGTATCGTGGTGACCAAATAACTAAAGGTCCGTCTCTCATACATGAGGGCGCGGGTGCGAAAGGTTCGAAACCTGGTAAGTACAAATGTGATTTTTCACAAAATTTGATTCACTAGAATATATTAAGTCAGTGGTGCTTAGTGGTTAAAGGCCCGCTTCTCAGTAGAGCGCGGGTTCAATCTTGGCAAGGACCAATGTGGCTTTTCCGAGTCATATGTACTTTCTAAGAGTATTTAGATACCACTGACAGACAGTGAAGGAAAAATTGATGAGGAAGCCTGGATTTATAATTTCCAAATATAAGTTCGAAATCGCCAACCCGTCTTGAGCAAGTGTGGTAATTAATGTTCAAATCTTCTCCATTCGAGCCTTTGGTCAATAGTGGGCTCTTATAGACTGATGATGATGAATTAATTTTTTTAATCAACTACTGCATTATATAAAAAAAATTGAAACTGAGGGCTTGAGAGGGAGAAAAATATTTACTAAGATAAGATTTCCTCATGATGGTATTTTTTAATATTAAATTTGGTTAAGGAACTGGAGATATAAATCAGAATTAAGTTAATATAATCCTTTGGTAGAGTTTAACATTTTCCTTAATAGCTAGGAATAGTTGATTTATTGTAAAAAGACGAAGATGTTGAAGCTCCTCTACCTACAATGGTAGACCCGGCACCCGCACGATGATTACATGGAATGATGAGAGGTTTCTTTTTGTGTAAACAAACTGTACTAGTAGTAATTCTCACCTCTAATTTTTTCATAGTTTCCGCTAGTTTTAGGAGACGAAGAGTGGCTGTTGTGTTCGTTTCAACAGCATCCTTGAGTTTCTGGTCAAATCTGGATCAAAATTAAAGGAATTTATTAATACCATAATCCCTTATACGTTTACACATAGCTTTTTTCATTGAACAGAAAATAATTTACTTGTTACACTAATTTAGGATCCACAATAAAATATTTAATTCTTTATCAGTTTGAATTTAAATTTCAATTTAAGATACAATAAAAATATTGTCAAAGATTTGTTTTAAATTAGATACAGTGCAACCTCGATATAGTAAATCGGAGAGGGAAAAGAAAATTTTCGCTAAAGTGAGGTTTGTTATATTGAGGGTAGGTTGGTCTAAAATATGTTATAAAGAGGTAAAAATCACTTTCTTCTGAAACTCCCGAATCCCGAGCGTGTTGGCTGTCTAATTTCTTGTCATAGGATTTAGGTCAACATAATTAAGTCAGTGGTGGCTCAGTGGTTAAAGGGCCCGCCTCTCGGCCTCTCGTCGCCGAGGGCGCGGGTTCCATCTTGACCCGGGCAAGTACCAATGTGATTTTTCTTAATCATATGTACTTTCTAAGAGTATTTAGACATCACTGATTAATGTTGATTCCCAAAAAGAGGGTTGATGTCAGGCAGGCGGCCGGTCGTAAAAACAAATAGCCAAAAACTATTCATAGCATGCAAGGCAGACCCTGGCCATAGCTGGGAAATTGCCAGGTAGAAGAAGAAGATAATTAATGATGTTTCACTTCTCTGCTACCGTTTAGGAACATCCTTTACGTTTCTGAGTCATTTTAACTTTAATCTTTAACAATAGTGACGAGCAGAGGAGTTTATATTATTTTCCATCAAACAAAAATGATTGTTTCACGACCAAAAATTTAAACATGTCGCGACGAGTATCACAATTTAAGATTCAGAGTTATATATTGTTGGGAACATTATATAAAGGTTTTGGTTTGACAAAATTTGGTAATAAGAGGTAGTTAGTATACTTTTTCTTCATACTTGAAAATTTGATATAAAGAGGTTGTTCACAAAAAATGTAAATGTAGATTTTATATTGACTCTTATGGACAATTCAAGGAGATTTAATAAGAATTTATTATATCAAGGAAGTACGTTATATTAAGGTTGCACTGTATTTCAATTTACCTGTTTTTTACTAATAATTTTTGCCTTACGAGTTATTCAGTAAAAGTTAGCTACTTTTTACTGTAAAAGAGTGTCTTACCTTACACACGCCCCGCTATGGAAAACGATATTGCAATTTTCTTGTAACTCTCTCCGATTATCATTAGAAATCCCCAAATCCTCTCGCAAAAGATCACCAGCTATGAGTTCTAGTTTATTGAAAGCATCTGGGTTGTTGGTTCTTAGATTTTCAAATATCTGTGGATTTCATCAAATACAATTTTATAGAAAACCATTTATTGACATTTATTTGACAGGAAGTAACGCTGTTTATGATAGCGAAGGTTTGAATATTCTTCGACGCTATAACTTTATATATATGTTACTAGCTTTCCGCCCGCAGCTTCACCCGCGTGGAGTTTGGTTATATCGCGTTTCCAAGAGAACCTTTTAAAAGTCTGGGATAAAAACTATCCTATGTTCTTTCTCAAGGTCAATTAAATCTCTGTACCAAATTTCATTAATATCAGTTCAGTGGTTTAGGCGTGAAAGCGTAACAGAAAGACAGACAGACAGAGTTACTTTCGCATTTATAATATTAAGTAGGGATTGTTCATAACTTCTCGTCTTCTAAGAAAACATAGAAGACGATAAAATGGATCCAGAAGTAAATTTACTATATTTCTTAAGAAGGTCTATTGGTATGTATATCTTGAATAAATTATTTATTATTATTGTCTACTAGTTTCAGCTTCCGACTTCGTCTGCTTTACTTTCTGAATTTGAAGTGTATACCTAACCGGGCGAACTCTGTTCCTTTTTAATGGCAGTAAATAAAAATTTGTTTATTACAAATACTAAACAAAAAATGTATAATTATTTGATTACAATCTCAGAAATTACCTATATCATTCAATCCCATTCTATATTATTTTATTTATTATTATAGGCTATGCATTATTGTGCAGGTTACTGTGATTACAGTGAAGGAAAACATCGTAAGGAAACCTGGACTTATAATATCTTAATTATTGCTCTAACCTTCTCCATGTTAGAAGAAGCCTTTGCTCAGCAGTGGGCTCTGATAGGCTGATGATGATTAATATGTATTTATATTTAAATATTTGCAATGCATGCGAAACGTAACAGTAATTTAACGAAAATATCGAATGAAGCTGCTGTCTCTGGAAAACGTACTTCTGCCTGTGACCCAGAAGCTCGATGACGTCACACAAGCATCGTGACGTCATCGATATACTGACAGAAGAACAGACACACACTTCTTTATATAATAACTAGTAAACCCGGCGAACTCCGTTTCGCCACCAGAAGGCTTTGTTTTACATAACATTTCGTTTGGTGATTAAAAGATGAAGATTATTTTTTGTTTTAAATTTGATAAGGATAATTTTTATCTCATTTCATAACAGTAATAAATTCATTTCGATTACAAAAATGAAGTGTTATTTAGTTGAACTTCTCTAAGTAAATGAAAGTGAATCCAAAGTAGATACCGAATCGAAGCGTTATACGTGTCCGCAAATTATCCGTTTCATTGAAGTGCTCCTTTGTAAGCCAAATTTTTTGTTTTTCCGGTGGTTTGTTGTGGTGGTGGTTTGTTCGTTCTGGAGTTATAGAGTCAGGATGGAAAACCGGACTTATTTTTATATAGTAGATTTCTTACAAATATCAAATTTACATCATTACGTCATTACATATTTGTCATTATACGTCAATTGCATAGCTGTCAATTGTGTTTCGTTATTCCACGTTTTATAATGACTGACGTTTCATGTCAAGTCCCACGGGAATGCTATCGAACGGGATAAAAAGTATCCTATTGCAATTTCCTGCCAATTTTCAGCTAAATCGGTTCAGCCGTTCTTGAGTTATAAGTGGAGTAACTAACACGACTTTCTTTTATATATATAGATTCTTCTGTGAGTGTGTATATCACTGAACTTCTCTCAAACGACTGGACCGATTTTGATGAATTTTTTTGTGTGTGTTCAAGGTGATCTGAGAATGGTTTAGACTCACAATTTTGTCCGCTGGACAATGTTTTTTTAATTAATTTATTAGTAGTTGTTGATACAACTGTTTTTTTTTTTATTTTAGATTTGACAATTAACTTATATGTCAATCATTCTGTCGCACTTCAAAACACGGAGATTTATGGCTTTAATAGGTAAACTCCAACAATATAAATAAAAAAACGTAACAGATATTTCTTGATTATAGGGCGATACGAAGTTCACCGGGTCTTTTAGTATATATAGATAATATTAGTCACGTCATAATTATTATAATATATGTAAGTAAGCGAGTAGTTTTCCACTAACTTGTAGTTGACCGTGACCATCGCAGTTTTTAACTTAAACAACAATGAAATCAAAACCAGGTTATTCATTGATTGATTAATTAATTGAATTCAATAAAGAAATTTAACACAAATATCAATTCAATATATGTTTTGGTTTAATATACTCGTACTAGCTTACGCGGCAAACGTTGTTTTGCCATATAAAAATAAGGGTTGGTGATAAAAAAGTTAAAAATTAGGATCGTATGTCTATTTAATACTACATTATAAAGAAATAAAAACAGGATTTCGACCAAATATAAAAAAAATTAAGGTTGAACAACCCTTATTGCTTAGGTGTATGAAAAATAGATAGTAGCCGATTCTCAGGCCTACTGAATACATATAAAATTTGATAAAAATCAGTAAAGCCGTTTCTGAGGAGTACATACAAGTTAACAAGTGTGTCAGTACTTTAACTATTACTGTAATATCCTTACCACAAGTTTGCGTAATCCCACTTCATAAGAAAACTTTTAGGTCACGTTATCACGTCAAATTTTCTAGTAACCAAATATACATGATAAACTGGCAACGCTGCGTTTATTGCGCAAACTTGGAGTAAACATATCGGTATTTTAATAGATTCTTGTTATTATATAAATGCCTATAATAATAGTATTTTTTATTGGAAAAATCCTGATCATTTATATATATACATATATATCTCAGAGGCAATATACCAATACGTATATATGTTTTACATACTAACTTTGTTTGTATTTTTTTTTGTATGTTAATATATTAAGTATATTTATTCTAAAAATTCTGTCTGAAATAATTGAATTTTACTTACTCTGCTATTCCAGAGATCTTTAAGTCTATCATCAGCAGAAATTCCTTTCTTAGGTCTCATCAAAAGATATACAGTCTTTACACCTGGTAGAGAACGTAGTATCTTTTCAACCAAAACCTGAAAAAACAATCAAGTCATTACCAGAACTAGGTGAGTGACGTTCCGTCATAATTTTTGTTAACAAAATTCAAGTTTTGCTCACCTTTCCTACGAAACCGGTCGAACCAGTCACGAATATGCACTTTCCCTCATAAAATTCCGTCACTGAATGCGCCATGTTGCTGAAAAACTGTAAATTATTTATTAATAAACTGTAAATAAATAAATTTTATAATTAATATATGAGCTACATTTATTAAAATACTAGCTTTCTACCCGCGGCTTCGGTTATTTCGCGTTTCCAAGAGAACTTTTCAAAAATCTGTGATAAAAACTATCCTATGTTCTTTCTCAAGGTTAACTCTATCTCTGTACGAAATTCTATTAAAATCAGATCAGTGGTTTAGGCTTGAAAGCGTAACAGACAGACAGACAGAGTTACTTTCGCATTTATAATATTAGTAGGGATAAAAAATCTCAGTTAAATATAATATATTTAAATGAGACTTTTACATTTAAATGAATTGAATGAAGTTAGACTTTGTATTGCGAGTGTTATAGAGATTTATTATATGTTAATTGTTCTATTACAATGATGATTGATATAATCGTTTATTTTCAATCTACACCTATTAATTAAACAATATATTTACGATTGACCGCGCTTAATATTATTACTATGTTTTTGCTGTCAGTTGAACAATGTAAACAAAAAATTTGGGGACTCTACCGTGACGTTTCGTAGTAATCTGGAACAGTTTACACATACATACATACATACATACACATATATAAATGATAATGGAGTATCTGTTTGTAATATAGAAATAATCGTATATTACTACATGTATATGTATATTGTAGAATAACGTATTCCCAAAAAGAGGTTTGATGTCAGGCTGGCGGCCGGTCGTAAAAACAATTAGCCAAAACTATACACAACGTGTAAGGCAGACCCTGGCTAAAGCTGGGAAATTGCCAGGTAGAAGGATTTTAGATAGTCATCAGCCTGTCAGAGCCCACTGCTGAGTAAAAGCCTCTTCTCATATGGAGAAGGTTTGAGCATTAATCACCACGCATGCATGAGGTTGTTTTCTTTATTAAAAGGGTTGGCTTAAAGATCTATGATTATGGAGAGCGATTATATAATCAGTTTTCGATATATTGGCTATAAATAGATGTGTTAAAAATAATAAATTCAATTAATTAATTAATTAAAATATTTCAATTGTCCCGATTGTGACTGAATATTTAAATATTTATTATGAATTTTTAATTTTGCCTGAACTAACACGCAATTCTGTTGTAAAGAAAAAAATATATTACATGTATATGTTTTACTATTTTATGAAGGGATGGGATTTAAATAAATTTTTACAGCATTAACGTGTGGCATTCGGAGAAATAGAAGGTAAAAACACAGAATCAGTTGTAACTATAATGAAACTATTGTTACAAAAAAATAAGCACATAAATTACGATGCAGATAATGAATTTTTCATCTATTTTTTATGTTTTTTTTTTTTACCAAAATATTGTTATTTATAAAACATTGTATATGATTGAACAGGCACGACATAGAAATTTATAATTCTTGTTGTACAACGTAAACATTTACGCAAGAAGAAAAAATATTAAAACAACTGAACCGCAGATAATTATACAAGAAGACTATCTTGTTATAAATACACCACATTAATAAATTTTTCAAGTTTTTATACGATCTATATACTTAATTATGCTAGATTTTCAAATACACATTTAAATGAAACTATTATTTTCGTGTACTACGTGTTTTTTATTCTATATCTACATGATCTCGACGTTTCGGTTACTTTACAGCAACCGTGATCATGAAGACGAGATGAAAATGTCAAAATTGTGTTTTTATATGTAGTTAAAATGAAATAATTTATTATCAATTATTTTGAGTGTTAAAATATTTTTTGTGGAATATTATACCACAATGTCCAGGCTGAAATATTGTTACTCATTTATAACATAAGAAATTCTAGTTGTAGAAGATTGTACTCATTACTAGCTGACTCGGCAGACCTCGTACTGTCTCAAACGATAAATAAATAATTTCTTATTTATTTTTTGGAGTTTACCTTTAAGCCATAGATCTCCGTGTTCTGAAGTGCGACAAAATGATTGATATATTAGTTAGTTGTCAAATTTAATGTCAAAAAAACGTTTGTACGGGAAATAGAAAAGAGTTGTTTTAGGGTTTTCCCGGAAATGAATCTTTTTTTTTAGCTTTTAAGTTTTCCCTGAACCTCCACGAACATTTCAAGACTAAGATAAGATAAATCCGTTCAGCCGTTCTCGAGTTTTAGTGAGACTAACGAACAGCAAATCATTCTTATATATACAGATTTTATATATCCTAGAAGTTTTGATTATTTAAATAAATATCTGTACCATATATAATACGACAATTAGAATATTCAGGTCATAATATTGATTTATACTTATACTTTATTATACGATAATGTTTTATGGTTGTCCATTTAAAATTGTTTTCCTGTACTTATTGATGTGCTACATTTAGGAAACTATTTTGCAATGTGACTTTTTAACGGAATAACAAAATGTATATGGGAAAGATAATACAATCAACCTTAAAGTGAAAAGGTCACGATTTAAATATTTATACAATACAAGTTAATATTCAAATTAAATAATGCAAGTGGATTCATCATTATTTGACATAAAACGTGTATAAATAATTCATGAAATTTGATTTATTTTAAATTAACATTATTAAAATACATTTAATAATTATGAATTTGTAATTATAAACGCATTAGAAATAATATTTAATTGATAGTAAATATTATTGTAATTGTATATATATTTATAATAAAACCTTTTTCGTGACGTGAATTTTTCAATATGTCAATGTCATCAATTTATGTAATTAATTTTCAACATAATTTTGTTCAACCCGAGGAGAAAACACGAAAGAGAATTAATAGAATAAATATTATAGTTATGTTTTTGCATCACAAGTTTTATTTAAATAATGTTTTTTTATAAAACGTCATTCTGACATTCGTCAATCGATAATCGTATGTCATTTTGACAGCATCCTGAATGAAATGAACTCTTAAATTTTTTTTAAATTTTTTATACACTGTATATGTCCTATCTTCTTCAACCTGGCAATTTCCCAGATTTAGACATATCCTATGTTTGTATTTAATTGAATTTGTGTTTAAGTTCTACTACATTTCCTTATTGTGACTTCATTTAAATCTGTTAAATTTTATTTCATTTAATTTAATCCCGGATCGTGTCTCAATTGTACACGACACTGAAAGAATATACTGTGCAAGTATTTGCAGTGATAAAGGCCATATAACAACCAACCAACCAAAATTTTCCATCTATTTTTATCGCTAACAACAATTGTATACATTATTTTAATATATAGGCATATATATATACAGTTTTAAGTTTTTTAGAATAGTTAAAATTCAAATAGAATAATTATTTTCGCCATTTTTTGATATTATATATTACATATAATTATAAATTAGTGCATAAATAAATCGTTAATAAGATCTTGAAAACAGACAATAACTTTCTTTATTATTCTACGTTGTCAGTTAAAATTGTCTTGAATATAACTGTCCTAGGACGATTTAATTTTTTAATTAATTTTATATTATTGAAGTAAAAGTTATTTTGGTTCGATGGAGAAAAATTTTGAGTGTTTTTACAATGCGCACTGACCGATAGCGACATCGTGAAGTTAGTTCTAGGTGGCATGTTAATACATAGCTATGTTCAAGTTGTATAATATAGTATTTTAATATTAAGAACACGTGCTTCGTAATTAAACAGTGTGAATAAATAAATATTGTTATTATGTTTTTATTAAATCATTTTCACATACGACGGTAATAAAAAAAATCATAAAAACTTTATTTCAGGAACTTCTGAGCCACTGATATTTTTTTTAATGAAGATTTAATTCTATTGATTAATAATGACTCTAGTTTCCACTCGGTATGGCATCACTATTGATGGTGTATCTACAAGATACTTATCTACAGTCTCAACGAGACAATTTATATCATACTAGCTTTCCGCCCGCAGCTTTGCCCGCGTGGAGTTCGTTTATATCGCGTTTTCAAGATAACCTTTCAAAAGTCGAGGATAAAAACTATCCTATGTTCTTTCTCAAGGACAACTCTATCTTTGTATCAAATTTCATTAAAATCAGATCAGTGGTTTAGGCGTGAAAGCCTAACAGACAGACAGAGTTACTTTCGCATTTATAATATTATTAGGGATTTTAACTGCCACAATCCTCTTGTGCCTATTCAGTAACTACGAGACGAATCTATCAGTATAAAATAGTTTATTTGTTATATTTATTAAAATATTTGATTCATTGCCTTAATGATTAATGGTTGTATATTTTTACAGTGCTGTCATATTATTACGTTAATGAAACCTTTTTTTGTTTAAATATTTTATTTTATTTATTTTTATATTTATCGTTAATCATTACAGCATTTTAGTTATTTTTCTATACGCAAAAAAAGTATAACTTCTAACGCGTGTACATAAGTACATTATCTTTTTCATCTATTCTTCCTACACATAGAATTTGTCGAATATTCTGTTAATTTATGTAATGTATGTAATTATTTTTGAACTTAATTTCGGTCACTCCGAGGAGAAAATAATAGAATAAATACCATGGTTATGTATTCATACCATAAGTTCTTTTTAAATAATGTTTTTTATAAAACGTCATTCTGACATACGTCAATCGATAATCGTATGCCATTTTGACATAATTTGACATAACTATTTAAATGTATATACATATATACAATATTAAATTGTTTTAGAATAGGAAAAATCCAAGCAATGAAGTACATTTATTTTGGCCCTTATTTGAATATATTTTTTTCGCACCATGACTGCATAATACATAATTAATAATTAATGAGATCTGACAATAAATAATTAATGAGATCTTAAAATAGAAAATAGCTTTCTTTATTCTTTTTCGTTGTCGGTAAAAATTATCTTGAATGAAACTGTCCTAGGATGATTAAATTTTTTAATCAATTTTATAATATTATATTTGACTATGAAAATATTTAAACAATACAAATCATTTTAATACATATAAACCCTTCTCACTACTATTTGATAAAAAATAATAATTATCTTCATGGCGGGTCAAGATCATTTATAAAAACTAACTAAAACTAAAACTAACTAAAACGAACTAAAAATTCATTTATAAAAACCCTAGCCTAAAAATTATTATAAAAGGATATATAATACATATATATGTAAAACATGTATATATATGTATAATTAATTTTATTTATTTTTAATGACTTTCAAATTAGTATGATTGGATGCTTTTTTCTATTTAAATATAAATAGCCTATTAAATTTTTTATGTCATATCTGTCCAACATAAATGGGAATATATATAAAATATTTTTTTATAAGAAATATTAGTATTTTAGTGAAAATTACTTACCTGCTTTCATGAACTCCGCACGTCTATATGAAGTGGCCACCCACAAGATATTGAGCCACAGAGTAATCAGTATTACAACTGAAATTCAGTGAGTGGCGGAAAATATATGTATCTACGAAAAACAACATTTAAATCATTAATAATTTTCACGCATACAATGGAGGCATTAACGTGATATTAAGAATTTTACTAGTCAAAAAAAAACAATTTTTTTGTCATTGTAGAAAGAGTAATATACGTAAAATATCAAAAAATATGTTAAAAAAATTAGTTTTTCATCAGCAGTAATTTTATAGGTCAGTACAAACTAAATCACGGCTTCATGGGATATAAAGCCTTGATTTTGTAATATATTAGAAAAAAGCAAGTAAAAAAATTTTAAAGCATAAATTCTGTGTACATATATATAAGTACATAATTAATTTACTTACCTTAATTTCGCTTAAGAATCATCACAGCCATTAATGTATTTATTGCCACAAATAAAAATGTTTTAACACGATTTTTAAAAGTAATTTATAAGTTTTTTATGCTATTTCCACTTTTTTAACGAGTATCTGTTTTCATCATCATCATCAGCCTATCAGAGCCCACTGCTGCGCCTCTTCTCACATAGAGAAGATTTGAGCATTAATCACCACGCTTGCTCAAGACGCGTTAGTGATTTCAAATGTATAATTGTGAAATTATAACTCCAAATTTCCTCATGTTTTCCTTTGTCTGTCAGTGATGTCTAAATACTCTTAAAGTACATATGACTCGGAACAATCACATTGGTACTTGCCAGGATCGAACCCGCGCCCTCGTGCACGAGATGCGAGTCTTTAACCTCCAAGGCATCACGAGTTTATATTGCAGGTCTTTTGTTTTCAAGATATATCCTTAGTACAAGTTTGTATTATAACTAAACAAGTGGCGTTTCCCGTATACTTAAATATAATGTGAGAAGTTATGAATGGAAAACTATTAACTCCACGTATGTAGTAACGATGCAAGCTTGATATAAGGTTAATATTATTATACAATTTATAATATTTTTATATTTAAGGATTTCCAAAAAAAATGTTTTCTAAATCTATGTACATCAGCCTAAAATATCGAGTCATCAAAAAATTGCAGTGACTAACATAGAAATAGACGTAATCAGGATTTTTTAGATAAAAATGAATTCTAAAGTATAAAAAAAATATTATTTATGTTTAATTTCGGTAATTTTCTTTATAGATAAAAAATACGTTTTGAGAAATTATTCTTACGTTTTTGACGTAAACGAATTTTTGAAATTTTAGTCTTTAAAAAAAAATTATCATAAATAATAAATAGGAGCAAAATTTCAAATAAAATACATGACTTTTTTTATATAATTTTATTATTATAAACTAATTTTATAAACAGATTGACTTGTAAACAATATGTAAATTGTGGATCAGACACATTCACCTTTAAAAGACAACAAATAAATAATTCTTACTATGATGTATACACATATGTATATATAGCTTTAATTATACTACAATGATCCTATTAAGATAATTATATAAATTATAAAGTTAAATGCAAATTTTATAAGAATATTTTCATTGATTTCAAAACAACTTTATTGTAAATTATATTAATTTTAATTCAGTATCAATTTTTATATATCTGTTTAACAAGTAAAGGATTATATCTTTAAATATATATTAGAGATATACACGTACTTCTGTTCAAAAAAATTTCATACAATAAACACAACATGAGGAAAATCCGAGTGAATATGGCGTGGTTTTGTCTACTACATTATAATATTTTTCACAAAACGGTTGTATACGAAATAAATTAGAAGAGAGATCATAAGAAACTTCATAATTTTATCCAACCAATACAACCTGAAAAAGAAAAGAAATTATATATATATATGTAACACTAGAAGACCTGGCGAACTTCGTATCGCTCTATAATCAAGAAATATCTATTATGTTTTTTTATTTATATTTTTGGAGTTTACCTATTATTAGATTGACATATTAGTTAGTTGTCAAAAAAAAACGTTTGTATGGGAAATAGAAAAGGGCTGTTTTTATGGTTTTCCCAGTAATTAATCAATTTTTTCAGCTTTTATACCTTCCCTGAACCTCCACGAACATTTCAACACTAAGATAAGATAAATCCGTTCAGCTGTTCTCGAGTTTTAGCGAGACTAAGGAACAGCAATCCATTTTTATATATATATAGAAGATATTGTAATTAAGTAAAACTAGCGAAATGATTCACAATTACGGATATCGACAACCGAATGTACGATAAAGATGAGGTTTTTTCTTCAATAGCCCAGTTATATGAAATGATTTTTGTCAAAAAATGATATAGATGGAACCATTAATTACAATTTTAGTTGCTGAAAACGGGATCCATGTCCAAAAACATCCCAGTTTTATTTTGGTACAAATAGGATTTAGGTTCGAAAATGTCACTTTCTGATTTATATAAAATAAAGTGACTGTGATTTTGTATATTTAAAACAATAAATAAATTGGTTCCTCGTGAAATCTTCGTCATTACGTCAAAAATACTGATCAAATATTATAATATATGTATAGATACACGTATAATTGCATTATTATTTATATATTACAAGTCATACGAATATTTAAATGTAACTTGGTGTTTTATAGGATCGTTGGACACGTAAACTCGTATGCAAAACTAAGTGTTTAAACTTTCTGAAAATATTATAATTAATAAAATTATTATAATAATAACACTTAAACAACTATTTTAATTCCAAATAAAGATTATTGATAACTTACCTTTTATATGTATAAAATAAAGGAACAAAATAACCACACGGTAATTTTTATTAACAGCGCCATCTCGTGTTTGATCACGGAACTTTTTGTAAATTATTATCGTAAAAAATATATTTATAAAAATATTATATTTATATACAATTTTATTTGGATGTATTGACACAGAAATTTAAATTATTTTTAAATCTATGTTGTAAAGAAAGAATATTGTTTAAGTAATGAAAGTTGTGTTAAAATTGGGTTTTAATTTTAAACTTAACTACTGTTCAGGTTCTGCCATATGTGTTACTTAATATATCTTTAAGCCAAATTTTTATTATAGGATAATTTGATCAAAATAGTTCATTTGGTAATCGACATGGTTCATTTGGTAATCAACATGGTTCATTTGGTAATCAACATTTGATCAACACTTGCTATCAGTTTTTTTAGTTAAAACAATTAAAAACAACTCACCGATTAATAAGTTTTCTCGCTTGAGGTAAAGTACTGGGGTCCTCTTTAAGACAGTATTCTCTGGCGCCCTTCATGTATGTCCGCATGTATTCACTCCAATTAATTATCTGAAAATATTATTTTATACATGAAAACATAAATCATTGGTATATTTTCTGGTTTTTATGTTATATTTGTGTGTTAAAAAACAAAATTCTTATTATTTTTTTAACAATTATATTACAATAATCTTATAATATTACCAAGACATTTCGATTATATGAAAGATACTAATTTTATCATTATATTTTAATTATTTCACTCATGTTACGGATTCTCGATAATATTTTCCTTTTTTGACCGAAGCTACGAACATTCGGCATTTCATCAAAATAGGTTATAATTTAATGATAAATATATTTACCGACAAATCCGTGTAAAAGACTTCGTTATCGGATTTCGATATCCTTTCTTTCAGTGATTTGTAATAGTCGTTTTCGAAGAACCACTCGTTTGTCGTGTAGTACTCAAGCACATTCAGGCCGTAGCTCACTCGTTTTTGTACTTTCACCATGCTATAAATTACACAAAATTTTAAATAACATCCCTACTAATATTATAAATGCGAAAGGAACTCTGTCTGTCTGTCTGTTAGGCTTTGACGCCTAAGCCACTGAACTGATTTTAATGGAATTTGGTACAGAGAGTTGACCTTGAGAAAGAACAGGATAGTTTTTATTCTGGACTTTTGAAAGGTTCTCTTGGAAACGCGATTAATGTGAGTCCACGGGGGCGAAGCTGCGGGCGGAAAGCTTGTTATTGATAAAAAAATGATATTTTAATAGAAAAATAATTGAACAGTCACTAACAATGTCGGCTTTCCCATAATTAACATGAGGAGATCGACTAGTAACGCTGGCAGGAGGTGAACGAAGAATGCTGCTATCATATGGTGTAGTTTGGAACTTTTCAGTGATCCCTCTGGATACCACAGTAAGATGGAGGAAGGAAACTCATGGACGTGGACACGACCTGTTTATAATAACTGCATATAACATTGAATTTAATAAAAAAAAATGTGTCTACCTTCAAATAGAGCAGTACAGAAGAAACGGTCTCACAAAAAGGTTTCGATAGTACTTCATCATCAGCCTATCAGAGCTCACTGCTGAGCAAAGGCCTCTTTCTCACATGGAGTAGGTTTGAGCATTAATCACCACGCTTGCTCAAGACGGGTTGGTGATTTCAAACTTATAATTGTGAAACTATAAGTTCAGGTTTCCTCGCGATGTTTTCTTTCACCGTATGTCAGTAATGTCTAAATACTCTAATAAAGTACACATGATTCAGAAAAATCACATTGGTACATGCCAGGATAGAACCCGCGCCCTCATGCACGAGAGGCGGGCCCTTAAACCACTAGGCCACCACTGACATAACAATTTTATATTATATACTTATTTTGTCAATAATTGTATAGCCAATAAAAAAGTATTATGAGTAAATTTATTGCCAAGTGAGTTTTTTTATTTATTGTTTTGTGACACGTATTTGCATAGCTTACCCAGATTAACCGCGTCTTCCCATGTTACAGGATTTTGACCGGATAACGTGATGTTACAAACCCTGATCTCTTTTGGTCTGTTGAACAAAAAATTAAATATATATAAAATTGAAAAGTGAAAAATTACTTAAAAAACTCAAGATAAACGACAAAATTTGGCCAATTTCGATCACTCATAAGCAATTATCAGTTATTTTTATCTTTTTGCAAGAAAAACGAATCTGTTAGGTTAACTTACTTCTCGATTGCTGTGAGATATCCCAAGAGCACGCAAGCATTTACAACATAATCAACGGGAACGACATCCGCTTGGTAGTTGGAGTGGCAATACATGCTACGTATAACGCCTTAAAAATAAAACATACTTTACATAAACTACTACATTTTTCATCAATAATGTACCGTTAATATTTGTTTAACAAAGATTTCAATTCATTTGAGAAAATCGAACCTAATTTACAAGCGTAAAATCTAAAAAATATATTAAAGAAGTTCGTTACCTTTTCCAGAACCCACTAAAAGTCCCGTGGGTCCGTTCAGATTGTCCACCCAACCTGGTAAGGGTTCCTTTTCAGCAGCCGTCACTGATAACAATGAAATATTAGAATACAGAGGAATAAGCTTTGTTTTACAATACCCAAAATATAAATAGACGGCTACAAAAGAAGATAGTAAAACAAAGATACGATTGCAGCCGTATGAGGTATATAGAAAAAATATAAAGTATCATAAAGTTTATAAAAGAAAAGATTAATATTTAGATATTCATAAAGTTTCAAATCACATATTGATGGAAATAATTTTTTTCAACGATTTCTAGACAATTTTGTTTCACAATTAATATACTAAATTGTAAAAAACCAACTTCTCGGATTCATAAAACAATATCTGGTTACCGAGCTTTGCTCGGTATTTAGGAATTATTGGTATTTATTTTGTGTTTTATTTTTTTTTAATTTCTTTTAGGAATTTTTAAGTGAACACGTTAAGAAGACAAAACAATATAAATCAACAATTAATTTCTTAGTCTAACTCAAAAGAAACACTCAATGACTTCCTGGTACTTAACAAGGCCATCTGCTATTTTGTCGTTAAAGCAATTAGCAAAATGTAGTATTACTATTCGCCAATAGATGTCAGGGAGAGTCATATTTTAAACGACTCTTTTTTGTTATCTTTTTTTTTCATAAAATAACATTTACTAAAAATGATTCCTAGCTAAATAACAAAGTTATCGCCCCCGAAACCTACTATATACTAAATTTCATAAAAATCGTTGGACCGATTCCGAGATAAATATATATACAAGAATTGCTCATTTAAAGATATGAGACATACCTAAAGTTAATAAATGGTTACTTCCATATACATATTAAATAAAATTAAGCGCATGACAAAGAGGACTTCAAAATAAAAATACATTTCTTACCAATAGATGGCCTTGCTATCACTATGGGGTACTTCCCCGCTTTTTGAGCTACTAGCTCTTCAGTTAATGATTTGGTATAAGCGTACGTGTTTGGTTGTGGGTCAATTAACCTGGAAAATGATTGAAAAGGTAGCTTTAAATCTAAAATATTTTAGTATTGTTAATAGAATATCCCTAGTCTAAGTTTGCATCTTTACCCTACATACGGAAGGTATACACTTTTTTACTCGTAAATCTTATCACATTATAGCAATAATGTTGGTTGTTTAGTGACAAACGGGAAACTCTACGTCTGTAGTATAACGAAGTAAACATACCGGTAAATTATTGTTCCAATGGTCACCAAAACATACACAATAAAAAGAAAATAATTTAATATCCCACTCTTGATTTGTTTAAACTTTACCCACTAAGTTGCGATACAACATAAATTATATTCGTCATCAGTCTATCAGAGCCCACTGCTGAGCAAAGGCCTTTTTCTCACATGGAGAAGGTATGAGCATTATTCACCACGTTTGCTCAAGACGGGTTGGTGATTTCAAACTTATAATTGTGAAACTATTAGCCCAGGTTTCCTAACGATGTTTTCCTTCACCGTATGTCAGTGGTGTCTAAATACTCTTAGAAAGTACATGTGACTCCGAAAAATCACATTGGTACTTGCGAGTTTGAACCCGCGCCCTCGGCAACGAGAGGTGGGCCCTTTAACCACTAGGCCACCACTGACTTATAAATTATATTATGAAAAAAATATTTTCTTTCACGTATGTTTTCTACAAGTATTACAGAGAGGAGCTTGGACGGTGGAGGTGATCGTTTAACGCGTTAGAAAGGGTCCCCTTAAACCTACACCTGGGTCGCAAGTCCCAGTCACTGTTGAAGCTCCTCTCACCACAACGATGGACCCGACACCAGCACGATGAACACATGGATTGATGAGAGGTATTATCTCTATGATAAATATAACAGTTTAGGTTGGTGATATAAGTGTTGTAGGAAACTAATACTTTGGTTCTAAGATTTTCAAAAGCTCGTCATCCATCCATTGGACGCAGTTCATGATGTCTTGTGGTCTGTGCTTAGCTGGGTACAGACGCTCTTCCAAATTATGTACTTCACATCGACAGTACGATGTAGAAACATGGACGAAAACCTGAAAGATCAAAACCAAAATAGCCTATGTAAAATTTGTTTCATAATAAACACCTTTTTATATGAGAAAGGAAACAAATGAGCAGACTGCCTACTAGATGGGCAGTAGTCACCGTCGCCCATAGACATCCTCAACATATCTTATGTTGCAAATTCGTTGCAAACCTTGCTTATTGAGGAAGTCGGAGGGGTGTGTATAATGAAAAGTTGGGAAAGGGTGGGAACAATGAAAGGGCAACGGGCTCTCTCACTCATTGGACGAAACGCAGCCATTAAAGTCTACTTCAAGCCGATCTTCTGTGAGAGGGTGGTACTTCCCCGGTAGAGCAAGCACATGTTCGAGCTATAGTGACTTGACCACAGATAGGCTCTACTATCTGCCCTAGTCTTTATTTTTATGGCATATAATTTACTCTTAACTAAATATCAGAAGTAGTAAGAATGTAATAAATATATCAAAGGTAATTCTCACCTCAAGTTTCTGCATATCATCAGCTAGTTTCAGAATCCTATCAGTGCCCATAGTGTTCATGTTTACAGCATCACGGATAGGCAAATCAAATCTGTATATAAATGTATTAATTAATAATAATCAAACAATAAAAATTTCGCCAACGAATTAATTAAGCCAGACCATTTCGAGCTGTAGTAACTTGACCACAGCTAGGCAATATGTACAAAAAAAATATCGAATAATTGTTTTAAATATCATTGCAAATTAATTGTTTACATTTAAAAAAAAAATATCGAATAATTGTTTTAAATATCATTGCAAATTAATTGTTATATATATGTAAGTTAATTTACATATTAGTTTCTTATCTTTTTTACGTTTATTCTTTAAAAATAATCCGGACTAAAATATTATATAGTCTAATATAAAGTGCTTTACCTAACGCAAGCAGCACAATGGTACACAATCTCAGTTTCTCTCGTTAATTTGTCCCAGTCTTCAATAGAGATCCCCAAATTATCCTGGAGAATATCTCCACGAATTACAGTAACTTTGTTGAAAGACTTTGGTGATTTTTCATGAAGAACCTCGAACACCTGAAAATTTAGTTTGTTTCAATTAGTGTAATAATGGAAAATTAAAAGGTGCAACCGAGCGACAGCCTGCTTGATGGAAGAAGAAACGTCGCCCATAGACATTTGTAACATAATAGTTGTTGCGGATGCGTTGCCGACCTTGATTGTGGGAGAGGGGCAGGAAAAAGTGGGAAAGGGAGGGAAAAGGGAAGGGCAACTGTCTCTCTCACTCATCAGACGAAATGCAGCCATTAAAGACTACTGTGAGAGGGTGGTACTTCCCCGGTCGAGCCAGGACATGTTCGAGCTGTAGTAACTTGACCACAGCTAGACTCTACCACCTTAATTTTAAATTCCCTTGTATATATTATTATACGATATTCACCCTACAGCTGAAGTAATCTTCAAGTCTCTCGTTAACATTCTGGCCTTTCTTTGGTCGCATTAATAAATACATTCTCTTTAAATCTGGACAACATCGTAACAATTTCTCCACCAGAACTTTTCCCAAAAACCCAGTTCCTCCGGTTATAAATATAGTTTTGTTTTTGTAATACTCAGCAACGCCAATAGATGGCGTCATTTTAAAATATTGATCTGAAACAGAATAAAAATATTTTAATTTTTTATTGCCAAAAAAACGTACGTCAATAATTTTTATCCAGAAAAAAAGTGAAATTGTTTGTTGTGGATTTTCTATATCCCCTAGCTTTCTTACAAAATTTAGTGTTTATTTATCATTTAACAAATATTTGGTATTCCACATTTCTATATAAATACAGGTAAACCAAGTATAAGAATGAAATAAAGAGTAGCCTAATGGCCATTACGCCGGACAACCTAGAGGTAAATAACATTTATTAAACATTGTACGTATGTATTTACATAATATTAGGGACTAAGGTACACAATATTAAAGAATAAGAATAAATAAATTAATAGGGAAAAATAAAAAAAAATAGCACCTTAACGCTCGACAGAAGTGATAACTTAAGTTAAGTAATTAATATAAAAAATTGTATATACATTAAAATATTTATCAGTTTATAAATACATACATTGAATATCAGTCAAAACAGTTATCTGTTAAAGTCTAAACTTCGTGCCTGTAATACTGATGTTGTATAGAGAGAGATAAACCAGGCTTAGTGGCGTTACGTTAAAATTTACTCTCCCATAAAAAGTTTACTCTTCAAAAAATTTTAAGATAAATCTAGCAATGAATTTACAATTTACATAAATAGTTTCCATTGGATATTTTATTTCTTATTTAAAATCTTTTCAACTGAATTGGAAAATCATTTTCCAATGCTTTGAGGAATAATTTAATTTTAATATTAGTATAATGTATATGGCCAGTTTAATAAGACGTATTCTTACATTCATGTTTAGTAGAAATACTGTAATCTTTTTAAATGATGATATGTGCAACATAAGAATAATTTAACGAACATCGTTGTATGTATAAAATATATATATAACTCTTGACGCCGCTGACTCCGCGGAATCAACACCAAGCCGTGTGAACCAGAAGATTCCTGATACACACAAGCTATGGAATGGTATTGCTATCATAACATCGGGTCAATCATGTAGTCTTAGGTGTAGGTTATAAGTTTTAATATGTAATTCTTATTATAATATACTTACATATTAGTATAATAGTTTTCCTTGAACACTGGCTAGCAGAATAACTCACTCTTTATTTAACAACATAACAAAACCACTTTAATTAATCACTTACTAAAGACGACAAAACAATTATTATTGCATGATATAAAACGAATCTGTCTTATAACTGTACAGCAACCGTGATCACAGGTAGACGAAATTAATGTCTGTCAGTTGGTCTTGTTATTTGTCAACTACCGTCAACAATTGTTTTTTTTTTACTAGCATACCGCTTTGGATGCACGTAGAATTCTTCAACTATTTTATGTCTCGTATTTTCTTAAATCAAAGTTCTGATAAAGTAACGCATTGTTAAAGGCGTTATGGCTTAATTGTTAAAACGCCTTGAACGAAATTGGTAGGTGGGGCTTTCAATTTTTCATTCTTGTATATAATGTATTAAAATTTTCATTAAAAATTGAAATAATTTTTACACTAACAGCTTAATTTGATCTTGATTTGAATGAATTCTGAACATTTAAAATGCACTTGATAAGTATAAATAGCAAGTTATAAAAACAACAAAATCATAACGACCTTTAAATGTCAAAAGAATATTTGGGTTCAATACAAAAAGGAAATCTTGTATATTCTAGACTCACTTTATAATATGTGAGAATATCGTTATATTGGTATACTTTTACAAGAGGGTAACAAGATAATAGATCATATACATATATATCGGCACTATATAAGTCAATGGTGGCCTGCCTGCGCCTCTCATGCATGAGTGCACAGGTTTTATCCTGGCAAGTACCAATGTGACTTTTCCGAGTCATATGTACTTTAAGAGTATTTAGACATCACTGATTAATGCATTCCCAAAGAGGTTTGATGTCACACAGGCGGCCGGTTGTAAAAACAATTAGCCAAAACTATTCACAACATGTAAGGCAGACCCTGGCTAAAGCTGGAAAATTGCCAGCATTAATGACGCACTATCAGCATTAATGACAGATGCGACGTAACAATAAGTTGAGCCTGTCATCAATTATTATAGAACTCATTAGTATTCATGATTATTGTTAAAAGTAAAACGAAATCAAAGATTGTTTAACAGAGAATAGAACTATGTTTGAATCTTGGTATAAATATGACGTCTGGACGTACGACGGCAGAGTTCAGTGAGTGCGGACCATTGAAGAATGTGATTATGAAGAACCTTCGAGAAATATAAGAAAATTTAAAAAAATTGAAGTTTCATTTTAAAATATCATGGAACGTACTGAAAGAAGTGACATTAGTGACGTCAGCGAGGCTGGCGTCTCTCTCTAAAAAAACAATGAATTTGTTTTAAAAATATTTATAAATTTTATATAATTACTACAAGACCCGGCGAACTTCGTATCGCCCTTTAAAAAAATATGTTACTTTTTTATTTATATTTTTGGAGTTTACCTATTAAAGCCATAAATCTCCGTGTTTTGAAGTGCGACAGTATGATTGGCATATTAGTTAGTTGTCAAATCTAATGTCAAAAAAAAAACATTTGTATCAACAACTACTAATAAATTAAAAATTAATTAAAAAAACATTGTCCAGCGGACAAAATTATGAATCTAAACCATTCCCAGATCCCCTTGAACACACACAAAAAATTACATCAAAATCACAGAAGAATTATATATGTATAAAGATTTATGACATAATATGTTACGTTAAAATACTCCTACAAATATCTTATATCACAGTGTACAGTGGACTTGAGCGTTATATGCTTTCAAAAATAAAAGAAGAGAATAGAAAATAAATTCTATAATTGTTCTGGGTTATACTAAGTTGAAAAAACTATGCAAAAATAATGACTCCTTAATATCTTTAATAGTGGTCTAATCAGAGTTAAGTCAGTGGGGGCCTAGTGGTTAAAGGACCGGCCTCTCGTGCTCGAGGGCGCGGGTTCGATTCTAGCAAGTACCAATGTGATTTTTCCGAGTCATATGTACTTTATAAGAGTATTTAAACATCACTGATAGATGAAGGAAAACATCGAGAGAAAACCTGGAATTACAATTTCCAATTATAAGTTTGAAATCACCAACCCGTCTTGAGCAAGTGTGGTGATTAATGCTCAAACCTTCTCCATGTGGGAAAGATGCTTTTGCTCAGCAGTGAGCTCTGATACTACAAGTTCGTATCCTTACTATAACAGTTTAACAGTTTTGTTTCATAAATCTCATATCATTATACCATCAAGATCAATAAATATTACGAGCTCACAAACGAACTAACTCGAAATAGATTCGTCGTGGATTTGTACGCGGTAGAGGTGGGAGCGAGAGGTATAACAGCTAAATCTATCTACAACCTACTAAAAGACGTGGACTTGTACAGAACTAATATTAATTAATTCTTGGAACGCATTTCGAAGGCAGCCATAGTAGGTTCTTTTCAAATTTGGTTAGGTAGAGAGAGGAGCTTGGACGGTGGAGGTGAGCGTTTAACGCGTTAGATAGGGGTCCCATAAACCTACACCTGAGTCACAAGTCCCAGTCACTGTTGAAGCTCCTCTCACTACAACGATGGACCCGACACACGCGTATAAATACATTGAATGATGAGAGGTTTCGTTTTAACGTAGTGTTATAGAAACTTGAAACGCAACGTATGTATTAAAGATAGTAACTATTTAGAATAATGTAGCACAGATACTTTCAATATATTTAATTTGATTCATTATATAAAAAAAAATTCAATAAAAATTTCTTTATATAGGTACATTTTTTACATGTATTAATTAATTAAATGTAACGAATATGCAATTGCCTCTTTTTTAACATAATTTACAATATGTTATTATAACAATGCTTAATTTTGATTGTAACAATGAAACATAGTGAATTTTTTATGAAAAATTATAATAATTTATGATTACTACTATGTATAATTTTGACTATAATCGTTTGGTTTGAGTAATGGAAATTTTTAATTTATTGTACGCATTTAGTAATGTATTTAAATATTTTAGCGTGATATTTGACAGACAGTGAAGGAAAATATCGTGAGGAAACCTGGACTTTAAAAATCACAATTATAATTTTGAAATCACCAACCCGTCTAGAGCAAGCGTGTTGATTAATGCTCTAATCTTCTCCATGTGAGAAGAAGCTCAGCAGTGGGCTCTGATAGGCTGATGATGATGATATTTGAATGTATGTTTTTATATTGACTTAAAAATTTGGAAAGTAATGGATGAAATGGAAATATTGGTATGGTATTCTAATTGTAATTTGAAGTACATATATACAAAGATTAACAATTTGTATTCTAGCTTAAAAATAAGTTTAGTACAGTTATAGTGAGTTATAACTGTAAAGGTGGTACTTGGCGTTTATTTGTTGTGTTCGGCCAAATAAGACCATGTGTGGAGGATTTATTCGTCTTCATTTGACATATTTGCACAAATAACACACATACACAAATAAGTGAAAACGCGTAAAGACGGTGTTGGCATGCCAAGTGTGGATGCCGTGTTTGAGCTATTTGGACTACGTACAAATATTTGGACAAATACGGCGAATACGCAACGCCAAGTGAAGTGCCACTTTAAGTTGTACAACATTAAATAAGAATTGAGTAACAACTTTATTAAAGAAGAATTCTCTATCAAATATATACATATATATATATATATATATATATATAGAATTGCAATGATAGAAGTATTAAGTCAGTGGTGTCCTAGTGGTTGAAAAAGGCCCGCCTCTCGTACACGAGGGTGCGGGTTCGATCCTGGCAAATACCAATATGCTTTTTCCGAGTCATATGTTCTGTCTAAGAGTATTTAGACATTACTGAAAAATGCATTCCAAAAGAGGGTTGATGTCAGGCAGGCGGCCGGTCGTAAAAATAATTAGCCAAAACTATTCGCAACATGTAAGGCAGACCCTGGCTAAAGCTGGGAAATTGCCAGGTAGAAGAACAAGAAGAAGAAGCAATGATAAATGTATTATAATAATGATAAGTATGTCTTATTATATAAATTTATATATATATATATATATATATATGTGTGTGTGTGTGTGTGTGTGTGTGTGTGTGTGTGTGTGTGTGTGTGTGTGTGTGTGTGTGTGTGTATATGTAGATGAAATAATATCAAACCATACAAAGTAAACGTCAGTTCATTTCAAATGACTGTATGACATTTTATTGACAACAACTATTGTCGTAATAAATTAAAATTAATTAATTAAAATAAAGATTTATTAATATATTCTTTTGTATAATTAAATGATGTTTTTTTATGCATCATACGTATGAAAATCATTGCATATTTTATATGCCTTTTGTTTAATGTATACAAGTATAATTTATAATATGCTTGCCTATTGTAACTGCTGGAGTAGATAATTTGTATTGTAGCAATTAAACTCCGATATAAACAAATGTTTAATATCTATTTAAATAACTATTATAAGTAATAGAAACAGTCTCATCAACTAATTCATTTGAATTAACAAAATTTTTAAGTAAATTTTAACATTTACTTTATAACGGTACTACATATATACCAGAGACTAAACCTCTCATTTTTTAATATATTCACGGTGCGTGTGTCGGGTCCATCGTAGTAGTGAGAGGAGCTTCAACAGTGACTGTGACTTGAGACCCACGTGTAGGTTTAAGGGACCCCTATCTAACGCGCGTTAAACACTCACCTCCACCGTCCAAGCTCCTCTATTTACCTAATTTGAAAAGAACTTACTAGGGCTGCCTTCGAGGTAGACTAGGGCTGTCTTCTAAGACTGAATTGATTTTAGTTGTGGACAGGCTCAAGTCTTTTAGTAGGTTGTAGAGAGATTTAGCTCCACCTACACCTAGAGGCTGAGCTGAAGCATGCAAAACATGCTCTGACCATCAACAACCTATCCGTGCCTCGCCAGCATCGCAAGAACTACATGAAGCCATCCATAGTTGAGCGACAACCTTCAATACTACCATATGTGAAAGGCACTATAAGAATAGGCAATATCTTGAAGAAGGTTTCAATCAAGACTATTTACAAACCACATAAGAAAGTGAGCCAATTCTTGAGACCAATCAAGAGTAACATTCCTTTACAACAAGCGGGTGTATATAAACTTGATTGTGACTGTGGCTTGTCATACATCGGACAGACAAAGAGAAGCATCGGTACAAGGGTTAAGAGACACATTTCAGACAACAAAAATAGGCGCGCGTCGAAAAAAGCAGTGTGTGAACATGCATTGGACAAACCATTACATTATATACAGTCTTCTTCCTGGCAATTTCCCAGCTTTAGCCAGGGTCTGCCTTTTTACATTATATTATATACAGTGAAGCCACGTATATACGGAGGTCAATCCGCGAGGCTATTGAAATTTAAAAAACACCCCAATTTCAATAGAGAAGATGACTGGAACCTATCAAACACCTGGGATCCTCTTAATAATATAAAATCCCATGTCCGTGACCACACCGCAGGACCTTGAGACACCGTGAGCGCATTCTGCCGACATCTAGAGCGCCAGAAAATTAAGAAATCGATTTCAGTAGACGATAAATAACAAGACCAACTGACAGACACTCACATCTCGTCTGCCCGTGATCAATGCTGCTGTTAAGTAACCGAAACTAAAGTATTTAGTTTATAATCAAAAATAAAAAACTCGTAGTACATACGAAAATATTAGTTTCATTTAAATTAATAATAAAATCTTAGATCTCATTGGAAATACCTCATAAACCTCTTCTTAAATTTTACACATCTTCCCATGAATTATCTCAGAAATACGACTACAGATGACTCCGGTTTACGCGACCTCTATCTAATACAGAATCAACTGTCATTAACATGCTCATTGATTGATTGATTGATTTTTTTATAAATTTTCTCTAATGTATGATTAAACGAGTTACAATTTTACGCACACAATATTATATGTCTTAATAGTATTATTTTAATTGCTTACTTTTAGTTTGAACACATTGTATTAAGAACATATGATTTTTCATTTGTTAATAATGATATGATATGATATGATATCATTGTCTCCGTAATTTATATAATTACAACCTACTCTTTAGTAATAAAATCCCAACTATATGGAGTATTAGGCGGTATTCTATGAACATATAAATTTATAACTCCAACACTGCCTTGTCAACACTTTTTGTAAGTTACCGAGATTTCACTGTTACTACTTTATTTTTATATAATGTTATCTTATATATTTGTGTGTACATATTTAAATAAAGCTTAGTTTTTCGTATACTACGTGTTTTTCATTCTATATCTACATGATCTCGACGTTTCGGTTCCTTTACTGCAACCGTGATCATGAAGACGAGATGACTGTCTTACAATATCCGAAAAACTTACTTTAAATTACTTTTTATATAAATAGTTTTATTTACTTTATACGCGTTTTTGTTTCCTTAAACATATCACGAACAACTTCTTTGCAAATTTTCGTTATATATATTATTATATTTAATATACAAAAATTAATAAGTATAAATGTTATATATATGAATAAAATAAAAAAAGAATACATATTATATATAAACAAATATCTGTGTATATATATAGTAATTATTATTAATACTTACCAGGGAACTTTTGAACAACAGGTCCAGCTATTGAGTACAGACAGAAGTAATTGAGTTTTGACTAGCTGTAACCGATAATCGAATAAGTTTAATTCGTTAATGATATCGTATAAAAACACGCATTGAATTATTCATGACCAATCATATAAATTACATTTGTGGAAGGTTAAAGAAGTATATGAAACAGTGTGGTATATTTATGTGTCTGTATGTATATAGATGACAACTTAAATATTGTCACGATAATATGGCTATTTATACAGAAGAGAACAAACTAATTCATTGTTAATTCATTAAAAGATACACAGTATATTTGTCTCTTGAAAACTGATAGGAAATTATTTCCATTAAAGAAACTTAATAATAAGTAAAGTCGCAGGATCCGCCTAGTTTTATACGGTCAATATAATTTTCAAAGAAAATTCAAAGAAAAAAATCGTTTAAAAAACAAAGACGCAAACTTAAAAATGACGTTTTTTTAAGTTTATTAGAATAATAATTACCCTAATTTCAAACGATTATCTATGTATATATATAAAGTCGTGTTAGTTACCCCACTTATAACCCAAGAACGGCTGAACCGATTTAGCTGAAAATTGGCAGGAAATTGCAATAGGATACTTTTTATCCCGTACGACAGCATTCCCGTGGGACTTGATATGAAACGTCAGTCACTATAAAACGTGGAATAACGAAACACAATTGACAGCTATGCAATTGACGTATAATGACAGATATGTTATGACGTATGGATGACAATTAGATATTTGTAAGAAATCTATATAAAAAAAAGTCCGGTTTTCCATCCTGACGCTGTAACTTCAGAACGAAAAAAGCAATTTCTACGGTTTTGCATTCGTTGGAAAGGTCTCGGGCTCCGTGACAACAAAAAATTTCAACAGAAAAGCGGGAAAATCTTTTGTCACATCCAGCGCCATCATACATAACATGTACTACAAATCAATATTAAGTATTTTTAAGTAGATGGTGCCGTCGCATGATACATTGTTTGACAGATACTCATTGTTCTCTTCTCAGTTAATTTCATGTGACAAACCGGTATTGTGTTTGTAGTTTGAACTCTTAAAACCATTTAGTATTTGCGGGATAAATTTAGAAAATCATTGTTTTTCACATGGGCTGTTACATTTTGCGTGTTCTCGAGTTTGGAAACCATACGCTTTATTTGTGTTAAAGTTAACCAAAAAACAAAAAATGTGGTTTACAAAGGAGCACTTCAATGAAACGGATAATTTGCGGACACGTATAACGCTTCGATTCGGTATCTACTTTGGATTCACTTTCATTTACTTAGAGCAGCTCAACTAAACAACACTTCATTTTTGTAATCGAAATGAATTCATTGCTGTTGTGAAATGAAATAAAAATTTTCCTTTTTAAATATAAAACAAAAAAAATCTTCATCTTTTAATCACCAAACGAAATGTTATATAAAAGCCTTCTGGTGGCGAAACGGAGTTCGCCAGGTTTACTTGTATTATATAAAAAAATATTTCAATTTGAAACATTACGAAAATTGTTCCAATTATGAGTGGTATATTTTGTATGCCTTGCACTGATTACTGAAAAAGTAATGAACAGATGAAATATACGATGTACAGACGTTTCTTAAAATAACTAATTATTGGACTTAAAATAAAACTTCAGTTCTAGAATATTACTACAACATTTTTTAATATTTTACAACTATATAATCCCGACGTTTCGTTTACTTGACAGCAAATGTGATTACAGATTTCTTTACAAAGCGGGTGTATTGTATTAAACTTGATTGTGACTGTGGCTTGTCGTACATCGGACAGACAAAGAGAAGCATTTTATAATAATCATATTACTTGAAGAACTGTAACTTTACTCATGTACTTATAAAGAAAACGCCTACTTGTGCTCTTTTTAGTCTTATTCTGTCACCCTTTCTATCTAAGACCCATCTAACATTTCCCACCTTTTCCTCCTTTCTCCTTTAATGAAGTTCGGCAACGCATCCACAACATCTCTTATGTTACAGATGTCCATAGATAATGACTACTACACATCAAGTAGGCCGTCTGCTAATTAATTACGTTGACATGAAAAACCAAACGTTTTTAAACAAATTTAATTCTTTAGCTTATATCTAAATAAATGTAAATTTTAAATAATTTAAACAACTATTTCATAGATACCTATTTTTATTAAAAAAATCAAATGTTGAGATTATAATAGCATAATTATCTTCATTCAAAACCCGAAATGTTTTTTAATACTTTAACAAAATCTTCCCAAGTACAGAACCCGTCTGAATCTACAGGACAATTTTTTATGAACAGTTGAACCCGTCGCGGTGGATTATTTGTTGATAGTTTTGATCCATCTCTTATCTGGTCTACTGTTAAATATACATAATCCAATTTAAACAAATCTCTATCCTGTGTAGCGTCATACCATCTCTGGAACACTAACTTCCCACCTATTGGTATTATTTCATATTGCTCTGGCAACAGAAACTCATTAACATCCAGTGCTGTCAAAACAGGATATAGATTTGAATCATGGCCATGGAGCAAGATGAATTTTTTTGGTGTTTCTTTACTAAGTATAGACGATATATAATCAAGAAGCGGTTTTGCGCTTTCTATTCCCAGTAGTTTACTATTAAAATAAATATTTAGATATTCATTTATAATTTGCATCAATGTCTTCCACTGTTCAGAATCCTTAATTCTTCCCCAAGCTACATTTTCTATTGGAAATCCATCGTAGAAACTCATAAGAAATGAATCAATTATATTATGTGTGATTAACAAAGGACCAGTGATGTGAGGTAACTCTCCATCTTCGTAAGAAATTTTATCATCTTCATTATCAAAATGACACAGGTTTTCCATTTGGCACGCTATAGAATTTTCTAGATCCAATATATCTTCTAATTCCATATATGCTTGACTCAGATCAATATTCCTCAACTTATTTTCCATTTCCTTAAAAATATTTTCTGTGATTATTTTAGAATCATTACGAATAATGGGATTAAATATCGGATCATTTTCATCAGAATTCATGCTGGTAACACTTATATTGCACTTGTAGAAAGCGCCACGAACAAAAGCTTTCGCAGATTCAAGACATCTCTGCTTAGTGTTTGCATAAATAAGTACAGAATTTTCTTCGGGACAACCGTCATTAAAAAGATTTTCCCTAACTAGCCAGTTATAAATATATTCACCCATATATTTTTCCATTAATTCGCCTTTTTCTGTCAAATAAAGATCACTTTTATTCCAATTAGGCCAAGGTTTAGGTGAGTAACATTGGAAATTTGTCGTCAAAGGAGTTCGTATGTTATGCCTGCTTAATATCAACACTTGTTTTAATTCATAACTAGTAATTACGACTATCAAATTAAAAAATACAACTTTAACAAGCATGTTCAATTGAATTTTAATGTGTTTCTTTTGAACGTTTTTATAAGACTGCTTTTAATTTCGTCATTTTGATCCATATTATATTCGATAATAATTTGTTAATGTAATTTAACAAAATGTTTTTGCTTATTTTAAGGTCAAATTTAGTTATATAGGGTTAAATCGTTTTCGGTATCTAAATGTGACAAGTTCATTGTTCACTGTGTATTCAAAGTGATGAATGGGGTTTTACGGCCTCTAGTCTTTGGTTCTGGTGCCCAGCCATGGAGGGCAGGTAGCTCGTTCAACGCGCTTCAGATCAGACCCTATCTCAATGGCTCAAAAATAAAACGGAAAGTCGTATTACCAAAATAATCGCCGTGTCCCTGCATTAATGCTGAGGTATCTAACACTCATAAAAATACTTGGAGGAGAGGTGTCAGAAACAAATGACAATCCTGGCAAAAAAGACATCCCTTAACAAAAAAGTGTGAAGACGTTTCGAGGATAGAAATTTAGCATTGCATTATGAAACAACTTTAAAAACTACGAAATATAATGTAATTTATAAAATGTTGATTTAGTTTAAATGTTTAAAATCACATAAATTTAAATATATGTAAATGTATTATTTAAAAAACAATTATTACGATTTATAAAATGACATGAACAAATCAAATAATTAGGATGGTCTAAAAAAATTAAATTTATAGAAAATTGCACAACTTACTTCGTGTTCATATAATTAATTTACTTCATTTAACTTCGAAACAGATTGAGGTTTTCTCACTCGTAGTACTTTTAGTGTGTTTTTTAATAAAATAAACTTTGTTGGATAATAATTGAGGATGCGTAATATTATTTACTAAATATTCGCGAAAAAATAGTACCTTCGTTTGTGAGCTATGAGAGGAAAATACAGACGTTACAATTTAAATATCCAAGTTACAATATCCTAATTATTAAATGAGGAGGAAAATATATTATTATTATTATATTAAGTGGAAATTTATCTTTGACTACATTATGCCTGGTGGAAACCTACTCTTAACTAAATTAATATAAAAAAATATTCAAAACAATATGAGCATTATTTTTTAATTCACTGATACTTTATTGTATACTAAAAATTTTCATAAAACTGAAGTGTAGGTATACCTAGTATAAAAAAATAAATTATTATGCCGTATTTATATGAGTTATTTATAAAAAAAAATCAGTAATTAATACAGGTAGATATCATATATTACAATGTTAATTTATATATTTCGTAATTTGCATTTATTTTTACACACAATCTCAATAATTTGGTTACAAAAACACATTTTGCCAGTCACAAAAAAAAAATCTGTTTATTATTTACATTATTACAATACATTTAAAAACTTACTGCATCATTTAATACTTTAACAAAATCTTCCCAAGTACAGAACCCGTCTGAATCTACATGACAATTCTTTATGAACAGTTGAACCCGTCGCGGTTGATTATTTGTTGATAGTTTTGATCCATCTCTTATCTGGTCTACTGTTAAATATACATAATACAATTTAAATAAATCTCTATCCTGTGTAGCGTCGTACCATCTCTGGAACACTAACTTCCCACCTATTGGTACGATTTCATATTGATCTGGCAACAGAAACTCATTTACATCCAGTGCCGCCAAAACAAAATATAAATTTGCATCATGGCCATGCAGTATAATGATTTTCTTTTCTGTTTCTTTTGTAAGCACTGACGATATGTAACTAAGAAGTGGTTTTGATACTTGTCTCCCAACTAGCTTACTGTTGAAAACGACGTGTTGGTATTGACTTATTGTTTTTGTGAGTATCCTCCACTGTTCAGAATCCTTAATTCTTCCCCAAGCCACATCTTCTAATGGAAATCCATCGTAATAACTCATGAGAAACGAATCAACTATCAGATGTGCCCATAGCAAAGAGCCACCTACATTCGGCAAGTTTCCTAATTCATAAATAATTTTATTATTAGCTTTATCAAAGTGACATATGCCCTCCATTTTACACACTTCAGCATTTTTTAAATCTAATACATCTTCCAATAAACTATATGGTTTCCGTGTATCCAATTCTCTTATTTTCGTTTCCATTTCCTTAACCACAAGCTCTTGAAGCACTGTTGAATCATTACGAACAACAACTTCAAACACTGAAGCCATTTCTTCGGTTCCCATTCTTAAAACATTATTGCAATTTTTAAAAACACCACGCATGAATGCCTTCGATGATTCATAAGTTCTCTGTGTTGAGTTTGCGAATATTTGAAAGGAACTCTCTTCGGGGCAGTTATCTTTAAAAAGCTCAGTGCACAACCAATTAGACATATATTCACCCATATTTTCTTCCATTGAAGCACCTTTTTCTGTGAGATAACCAACACTCACATTCCATTTCGGCCATGGACGAGGTGAAAACTTCTTGAAAGCATCTACCAAAGGACTTCTTATATTATGCCTGCTTAATATAACCACTTGCTTTAATTCATAACAAGTAACAACTAAAAATAGATTTAAAAAATATATTTTATAGTCCATTTTAGTTTGAATTTAATATATAAAGTCTCAAGGTTCCTTTCACACTGTCTTTACTTTTCTTTACAAGACGTTGTATGCGATTAGTTTTATCGAAACCTAAACGAGTCATGTTTTTATCCGCAAAAATTTCAATAATATGTAGGTGAAGTTTAAATTTATGTATCTTTTCTTACAATATAACCTCCATAACAATAACCTTTCATTGAATTTATGTTCTTAATCGAGAGTACGAATTGATGGAATGCGGCTGTCTGATAAAAAATTAGTCGTTGTTAAAATGAAATTTAATTTTTCGTTTTAATATCAAATTCAGGATGTAAAGTTTATATTTATCAAAAATATAAATAAAAAGTCTTTGAATAATTTATCAATGAATATCAACTTTTGATTAAAAAAATGTTTTACGGACATTCAAACACAATTTATTATTAAAGTCCGTTCTTTAGTATAAACTTAAATCATTTTAAACAACAGATCCCACCTACATTTTTATATTATCAGATTTCGCTATGGCTAAATTAATATTTTAGAGGTGCTGTGGAATAAAAGACTAAATATCATTATCGGTGTCCTTTAACAATAAAAATAATTGGTGGCATAATGTAGTATTTTACATAATCTTGAATCTATACATTGATGAACGGGAAACTCTTCGCATGTATTGGTACCAACTATCAGGTAGAGATATTTGAAGTGGTAGAACCTAGCTGTAGTCAAGTTACTACAGCTCGAACATGGGTTGGCTCGACCGGGGAAGTACCATCCTCTCACAGAAGATCGGCTTGAAGTAGTCTTTAATGGTTGCGTTTCGTCCGATGAGTGAGAGAGACGGTTGCCCTTCCCTTTCCTGACCTTACCATTTTCCTTCTCTTTCCCACCCTTTCTTCAATCCAGGGTGGTAACACTTTCGCAAATCTATATTACTTATATTGTGGATGTCTATAGACGACGGTACTACCTCAATCAAGTAAGCCGTCTGCTCCGTTGTCCCTTTAGCATAAAAAAAATAGTCAGATCTAGTGGCCCTTAGTTCTTCTTCGTCAGAGGGTGTTCCATAGTGGATGAAATCATAAGACAGACCACATGAGGGGTTCTACAGTGGCCAGAGGGAGAGTTATCGTGGATTTGTCACTGATATCATAAATACATACAACTCCCTACCCTGGATCTGCATTATGGAAGCACTATCACCACGTACGTGTCTTTGTCCGTCCATCGTTTAGTCGAGGCTTACCTAAGTGATATCAAAGAGGTTTACTCCAGAGTTTTGTTCCAGGAATTCTACCTAGAACCGCTTCTGTGGAACATCAGCTAATACCAGATACAAAACCCAACTGGTCAACAAAGTCACCGTGGTTTATTACGTCTAGACGGCCGGTAGCGGACCGAAAAAATGTGGAAATAGTTACACCTAAAGATCAATAAAAACTGAAATGTCATTTAGAAAAAAATAAATATTATCATAAACATATTATTTCGAAAAAACTAATTGTTTCTATAAATGTTTTTCAGGTATCAAATTTATATGTCATATTTTTATCAACATATATATTTTTTCAGGGTTATCGCCCCTCAATGAGCAAAGAATCTGACAGAACTCTTAATATGTGTATTTTTTTTATGTAGCTCCTATTATACATATATATATGTATATTATTGTTCTTAACTGTCATGTTATGTCATCAGCCTATCAGAAGCCCACTGCTGAGCAAGGCCTCTTTCTCTCATGGAGAAGGTTTGAGCATTAATCACCACGCTTGCTCAAGACGGGTTGGTGATTTCAAACTTATAATTGTGAAACTATAAGTCCACGTTTCGTCACAATGTTTTTCTTCACCGAATGTCAGTGATGTCTAAATACTCTCAGAAAATACATATGACTCCGAAAAATCACATTGGTACTTGCCAGGATCGAACCCGCGCCCTCGGCAACGAGAGACGGGACCCTTAACCACTAGGCCACCACTAGCTGTAAAAATTGTTCTTAATTAAATAATGTAAAGGATAAAATTTCTTGCATATAATATATCCGTTCATAATAATTTAAATTCATGTTTGGTCTCAATTTAATTTTTTGTATACTATGTATATCTAAATGGAAAAATAACTACCTTAAACTTGACCTACAATATGAAATAGTAACATTAAGAATGACAAAAATTCAGGCCAAATAAATTTAGATTAGTCTTCAATACTTTAGCATATTAAAATGTTTTAACATGTCATACGAATACGAGAAATTTGACTAAAAATAAACTCATGATAAGAATCCAATGATATTAATAAAATTATTTTATTAAAATATGTTCTTTAAATTGTTTTATTTTAAAACCATTTATATGTTTTAGTTTAAAACCATTCACTGTTTGTTTTAACAGTACGTATTAACTTTTTCTCTCTAGTATCGTGTCAAATCATCATTCGATAGAATTTTTTTGGTTCCGATCCGATACAAGAAAAAAATTATTATTACCCAACTGATTTAAATAATCAGAGTACACTGAAAATTTACGATAAATGGTTTTATTGTTTAAAGAATATGCTCATTTTTTGTCTATAAAAAGAAAGTACTTGACGGACTTTCTTTGTTTTTTCTTTTATAACAATGTAAATCTCTAAATACATCACGGGCGAAACTAAGGGAAGTAAGTAGTCTGCTTTTCCTGGCAATTTCCCAGCTTTAGCCAGGGTCTGCCCTACATGTTGTAAATAGTTTTGGCTAATTGTTTTTACTAACTGCCACCTGACTGACATCAACCCTCTTTGGGAAAAAGGAAAGTAATTAGTATTCAATATAAATTATCCAAAGTTTATTTATAACAGTATTACAAAAACAACAAAAAAGGTACTATCACAATAATACTTCTAATAATTTCAATTAGAAAATTTACAATACAATATATGTGTCAAACAAAACATGGAATGCGCAACAAAAATATCATATAAAAAAAACTATTATATACATTTGAGTTACAAAGTAAATACAATTTAATTATTTATAAGTTAAAAATGTTCTACACTCAATGTTTTATTGCAAATAATCTTACTAATATTATAATAAAAAGTTTGTAAGTGTATATGTTTGTTACTTCTTCAAGCTCAAACAGATGAACCGATTTTGATATATTTTTGTATGCAGGAAGCTGACGTCCAGGAATAAGACATAGGCTACTTTACATGCCGAAAATCCGCGGGTAACACCGCGGGGCGCAGCTAGTATTATATATAAATATAAATTCTTTATATTGTAGCTTTATCTAATTGTGCAAGTTGATGTGTTAGCCTTTCCTCCCTCGCTCGTCTCGCTTGACCCAAAGCTCGTTTCTCCGCAAACTGGGATATAAAAGTTTCTATCGGTATATTACCTGAAAACATGAAAAAATATATGAAAAACATAATTGAAGTATCAAATTTAACCTCAAATGTATAGAAAATAAACTAGATTAATTCATTTTAATCAATTAACTGTTGTGTATTAGTTAAACTTGGTGTTGTTAAATAATGTGATGTCAAGTGTAATGTAGGTAGATTATTATATTAGGTTCGTCATTCATTCTTGCTAATTAGCACAACAAATATATTGCGAAATTTTTGCATAGTTTTATTGAATGGTACAATAAGTAAGATGCCATTATAAAGATTCCTATATAATATTAAATACCCAATAAGAACTGCTCCGCAATCCCCTCGGCATCCTCATCGGCCTTCAATGCCGCCTCTTTTAAACATTCACGTATTCTATGAGGATCATAAATCTCGGATAACTTCTGGTGTTGACGATTCAATCTCTCGTAGCTCATCTTCATCTGCACAATGGTTGAAATACGATCGAGGACCTGGGTCTTTAAATCGTCGAGCATCTGTTGTTTATTTATATTATCCTGAGCTATTTGTTCAATGCTCGCCATAAGTTCTTCCGTTTCAAGATCTAGCTCAATCAACTGTGGATTGGTCTCTAGTAATTTATCCTGGAAATTACATTAGTCATAATTATACATAAAAATTATCTCAACAAGACTTATATTTGTTATGTGTAAACAAATTATAACAAAAACAGACATATAATTTATATATAAAAGCATAATTAGTAAAATTCCTTGCAAACTGATTGTTGTAACATAATTTTTACCTGTAAATCAGGGTTTTCAATGATCTCCTGTAATTCCTCAATAGAAAGCTCATTCAACTCCGGAAACATCATCGATTGGTTGCTGTAGTGTGACATTGGGCTTGTATCTGTGGATTTATCTTCGTGACCGTATAAATTAGGTGCTGAACGCTGAAATTCACGTATAATAACTTGAACAACACGCCCTAGATCAGAATGTGGACTATAATTTACCAATCCCGGTGCACCAATCACTTGGTTTGAGTTCTCTGCGAGCCACGGATGAGGAAAAACAGGGCTAACGAATATGTTAGGCTTCTCATTAGGAAATTCAGGGTTAAGAAGCACTGTAAGATTCAAGTTGTGCCCGTTAGCGGAAAAATCGACTTTATATTCCGTATTTTCTACAATCTCGGTGACATTGTCGTTAAATATTTTTAATGTATCAATCTGTCGCTTCCTTATATCTTGTTCCGTGTAATATGAACGGGGAAGCATATCGTAATATAGAAACAGGCGTATGACAACAAAATCGATTAATCTTCAACAAATTATCACAAGTCACAACACATTCACTGATGTTTGCTATATAGACATACAAGTTGTAACTTGACTATTATAAGTAAACTAATGTTTGCTTATTGTTGAATTAAAATGTAATTATATTTTTCTGTTTTTCTTTTCTATTCTAAATTGACAGATCTATTTCAAAATGTCAAAACAATTTCCAAAAGGTAGCTGTCACTTGTGGAATAAAACTGACAAGTTCTTCAAAATATTATAACAAAAGAATTTTACGTTTCACGCAATCTAAACATTTTTAAAATTTGTAAAACTATGTACTAATAAATATACTGTAATAATTTTGTTACTTGGAGTAAAAATATAAAGCAGTGTTAATCATGAATATACATTTCTTCGAATATCTTAATAATTTTATTTTATCGCAAAATAATTTAAAATGTAAACTCAGGTTATATATTAATACAACTATTATTATATTCCTCATCATATTAGTGCTCAAACCTTCTCCATATGAGAAAGAGGCCTTTGTTCAGCAGTGGGGTCCGATAGGCTGATGACATGCAAAATATTGAACATCTTTTTTAAGATAACAACGTTTACCAATTCTAAGGTGCGAATTTCTTTACGAGGGTATTGTACAAGAACTTTATTTTATCCTTTCATTGATAATTTAAATTTTTCTCTCAATTAGATAAAAAAAAATCGAAATAAATTTTTCAGTAACCACAAACGCGATCAATTTGTGGATCTGAACGAGGTAGAAGTAAGAGCGAGAGGTATAACAGCTAAATCTCTCTAAAACCTACTAAAAGACTTGGGCCTGTCCAGAACTAATATCAATTCATTCTTGGAACGTACCTCGGAGTCAGATCTAGTAGGTTCTTTTCATATTTGGTAGAGAGAGGAGCTTGGAGAGTGGAGGTCATCGTTTAACGCGCGTTAGATAGGGTCCCTTAAACCTACACCTGGGTCATAAGTCCCAGTCACTGTTGAAGCTCCTCTCACTACAACGATGGACCCGACACACGCATATGAATACATTGAATGATGAGAGGTTTCGTCTCTCTATATATATTAAACCTACACCTGGGTCACAAGTCCCAGTCACTGTTGAAGCTCCTCTCACTACAACGATGGACCCGACACACGCATATGAATACATTGAATGATGAGAGGTTTCGTCTCTCTATATATATTAAACCTACACCTGGGTCACAAGTCCCAGTCACTGTTGAAGCTCCTCTCACTACAACGATGGACCCGGCACACGCACCGTGAATACATGGAATGATGAGAGGTTTCGTCTCATATTTAATAATGAATTAAATAAGGTTTTCATGTCAACATTCAAAAAACGCCTGAAGGAATTATTACCAATACGATAACATAAATTTTTGCCTATTTAAATACATAGGCAAAGATTCTGGCTTGACAGAAAGAGAACTCCTCCGAAACGGTTGGACCGACTTTGATGAAATTTTGTGAGCATATTGAATAGGTTTGACAATCGGCCAACATCCACTTTTCATACCCCTAAGTCATAAGGGTTGTTCCCCCTTTAATTTTTTTTGTACGAAACTTTTTGTTTTTATTTTTTTTTATAATGTAGCATAAAAAATACATACAACCCAAAATTTTTATATGCAAAACAATGTTTGCCGTGTCAGCTAGTATTTTATATTTTCAAAAACTTCATCAGTTAAGTATATCAGAGTATTGTGAATTGTGAAAACGATTTATTTGGGATGTAATTCAAAATACAGTTTCTCCTAAACCTAAAATAAACTTGTGTCGGATGAGAAATGGTTGTAAAAAGGGTGAAAAGTATTTTTTACGTTAAAAAACGCTGTATAAAAATAGATTTTTCATGTAAATATAGTTTTCTGAATATAATTTACTAGCTTTTCGCCCGCAGCTTCACCCTCGTGGAGTTCGGTTATGTCGCATTTCCAAGAGAATCTTTCAAAAGTCTGGGATAAAAACTATCCTATGTTCTTTCTCAAGGTCAACTCTATCTCTGTACCAATCATTAAAATCAGTTCAGTGGTTTAGTCGTGAAAGCGTAACAGACAGACAGACAGAGTTACTTTCGCATTTATAATATTAGTAGGGATTGATTTTGATCAAATTTACGAGGTAAGTCCTACGTACGTAATGATCTTAAACGTAGTAATTACGTTTAAGCACATAATATTAAGACGGAGATGACCAAAATATTAACTGATGTCCATGACATGAAAATCGACGCATAAAAATTATGACAAACACAGTCACGGGTAAAACCTAGTTTTTGTATAAAATTACTAAATATATATATTATTAGGTATGTTTTATTTATTGATTATAATACATATATTCTCATATAACTTCTTCATAATATAGATTTACATAGTTTAATTGCTAAGTTTGCATATACAGGGTGACTGGTGAATTACTATCGATACTTGAGGACGTGATATTTGACGATCATATATGACAAAATAAAAATTAATATAACATAAATATTAATAAACTTCTAAGTAAAGTTAACCAAAAGTTATGTAATTAATTACGCATCGTGTGAACACCCTACAGATTAGGTATACACACACACACGCGTGCGGCGGCGTGGTGTTGTATCCACACTTGGAACACTTGGAACGTGTCCACACTTTATTTATTTATACGGAAATTTTGTCAAAAATTGAGTGCCTATGTTTTTTACATAATTCGAATGAGAATCACGTACCCAAAATTTATTACAAATAACATTTATATAGATATTTTTATAAAGAAAAAATAAAATATATATGTATATAAAGTGATTTTAAACTTTGAATTAATTGCAAGTAAAAAAGTTTTAACCGCTGCATGACCATATATTATATAAAGAATTAGTTATTGTTTATATTTACCTGTCTGAATGCGTATTTAAAATTACGAAATAAAATAAATATTTGTTACAGTAAAATTACAAAGATATATCATCATTATTAATTATCTTTGTTTTAATAACTTCGAATGAAAAAAAAAACATTCAATTTAAAGGAATTTTTAATATTTTCTACAAATATTGTTGTACATCAAATATTTTTTTTTTATTTTTCAAATATATCAAAAATATATATTTCGTGAATATGTACCTTTATCACAAATAAATGACTTCTGAGATAAGTAAGTAAGAAATTATTGATATTTAATTATCAAAAAGTTACCTAAAAATTGAGAAAACAATCTAAATAATAATATATAGATTTTCAACTAAAGAAAAAATCCATTAATTACTGTTTTGTTCACATTAAATGTTTTTTTGTAGTCAACTAAACAATTTAATGAGGCGTCGTAAAATAAAATATAAAAGAGACAATAAAAATGTCGTTTAATTTTAAACATAGTAACGGCTTCAAAAATATTTTTATAAATAATAATAAAAAAATATAATACCTCTGATATATATAGTATTTGAAATTTAAAAGAATCCTTAAAAAGTAACACAAATTGGAGTAATAATAAAAAAATAGTATAATAAGTATTTATTAATTATCTTTTTATTTAATTTTATATCCATCCGTTGTGTACTATGATTTTTAAACTGATTTTTTATATAGCGAGTAAACCCGAATGATAAATATATATTAATATTAACTAATATTAATTATATTTTTTTCTGTTATTTTAGTTATTTTTTAAATACCAAATTCTATTTGATATTTAATATTTATTTAGTATATTTTCTTTAGTATATTAACATTGTTCTCATATTATTTCCTTAGTAACAATTGACATTGTCAAATTTGACATATATGTTTGTTTAATTACACATACTAAATGAAAATAAATCTTAGGTAAAGCAAATTAAATATATTTCTATTATAACTAACTCTAATAAATAAAAAAAATATTTATAATCCGTTAATATTTTATATCTATTAATTAAAATAATTGTCAGAAACTAAAAAGTATTACATTATTTTTTTAAGTTGCAACATTATCGCACCTATTCTGCCAAAATCTATATCTTTATATATATAATTCTTCTGTGAGTGTGTATGTCACTGAACTTTTCTCAAACGACTGGACCGATTTTAATTAAAAATTTTTAGGTGTTCAAGGGGATCTGGGAACGGTTTAGATTCAAAATTTTGTCCGCTGGACAATGTTTTTTTAATTATTTTTTTATTTATTAGTAGTTGTTGGTACAAACGTTTTTTTTTTAGATTTGACAACTAACTAATATGTCAATCATTCTGTCGCACTTCAAAACACGGAGATTTATGGCTTTAATAGGTAAACTCCAAAAATATTATTAAAAAAACGTAACAGATATTTCTTGATTATAGGGCGATACGAAGTTCGCCGAGTCTTCTAGTATAAATATATATCATTAAAGAATTACATGTTAATAAACGTTATAAAGTACTTTTGTTTTTATGATGACATTACACCATAATTTAATGTCAGAAAGCATCAAGGTCCAGACATTTTTTAGGTTAACCCAAATATGGCGATACCGGAACGTGTCATCCTTCCGTTAATTTATTATGGGAATGATATTTATGGACAAAATAATTAATTAAGGACGTCCGGTTGAGTATTTAAATGTAATAATTTGGCGGTAATTTTTAAATTAATATATTATATTAACAGTGTTTCAACTGAAAAGGTTTTAATGTATTTTTACCAGTCAATCGATAGTTAAATCGTATTCTTGTTTTACATTTTTATAATTTCGCGTTATATTAAATAACAAATCGTGCATTCTGCAACGCGAAGGTCGCGAATGTAAATAAGAAAGTAAAGACGAATTTCATTGAGTTACCACACAACGTCAGAAATTACGTTTGTATGACCTACCTAACAAGTTGACACCCCACTTAAAACAAAAAGGGGGGAGATATACATTCCATTTATTACTACGCTTACTCGTATACACAATTTCTACGCAGATGCATCTTAACTTTCTACACGTCAAAACCTCTTTGGTGTTCAAAAAA